ATGAGAATCCATCTACGTAATTGGGATTCGATGACATCCATCAATTTCTGGGAGCCCAAAGCTGAGGCAATCTACACTTACCAAATCATTCTAGATTTGAGATGGATTCAATTTTAGTCTATTCTTAGGGTTCTGGGAGACGACTCGGCGATCCTTCCACCTGTGTCTGCATGTAATTGTGCAAATATATGTTTTCACTTCATCGAGCATTCCATCCCACATTAGCAAGTGTGAAATAGATACCATGGACCCATTCACCACGTACCATTGCCTCTTTTGGCCACGATTTGTGTCTCAGACTCTACTAATAGCAGTTGATTAAATTAATCTCGCAAGCGAGAAAAAATATGTGCTTCGTTTCAGATCGGAGACAGAGATGGTGACGTCACTTCTGAAACGGTTATATGGTGGCGAATGGGTCCAGGGAATTTGTCCTAATAGCACTGATATATAATACACTTGATAACCGAGCTTATAGAGATTACGCCACGATTGTCTGTCAGATACGTTTTGAAACAACTCGCTGTAAATATATGGTATCTAACGAGCGAAAGCGCGCGGGATACATTTTGAAACAACGAGTTTTAAGGTAAATGGTATCTGACAGGCACGACTGCATTAATCTGTTTGTTACATACGCTAAAATCGCACAAATTTAGCATCGAATCTGTGCATATGTTGTCTATTCTCATTATCACAGTGGCGCATTAATACATAACTCAGAGGTTAATTGTGAAGTCATCCAACCTACTGCTTAATAGTGTGACCTTCCACAATAAAAGTTTCCGCCATATATGTCGATTATCAAGGCGATGATGATAATGCACACTAGACAGGACCAAAGAACATTAATTACACTCTAAAAGTTTCGACACCGACGAATGTGAATTCCACCGAAGCACGAGTAACTTGAATGAATTACAATCGGGAAAGTAGTCCGTCCTAATTTGACCTTAGGTCATCACCATGGAGTAGCCAACCACGGACCTGGGATTCGATCTCACACATATGTTTGACACCAGTTATCTTAAATGGGTTTCTCACCCACAGGAATGTAAGAAGGCAGCGTTCTGACGAGTGAACTCCGATATCACAAGAAGGCGCACCGTTTTACTTTTCATTATTTCATTGCATTAATATTTTATGTATAATAGAGTAATTGAACTCAATGAAGCACACGAACTTTTGAACACTGATTCTCCGCGAGTCATTTCAGACTTCTCAAAATTCTTTTGCATACTTTGACAAAGGAAATCAAATAATAGAACATGGAATACGCTACTATGAGAAACGTTACATGTGCCCATATCAGTAATAAAGACAAGACGTTTTCCTGCTACACGAAGATAAGATATAACGTTTTTAACACGTATGTGGCACCGACATATCTAGAATCACTGGCACATTGCCTTCAGCTGTCTCCAGCCACGTGTTGAGCCAACAGTCGAGTTGGGAACAACGCAATTTGCGCATGTCATGAATGTGATTGCTTTGTGTCAAAGGTACAATATGCTGACGTTTGCATATATTGATAAAACGAAACATCTGGATGTCTCTATGACACAATATGTAGGTGACAGAAACATTACAGGGCCCCGTTCCACAAAGCGATCTTAGCGCTAACTCGGTCGTAACTCCCATTCTTTAACACTAACTTACGACAGTCGTAGCGCTAAGATCGCTTTGTGGAACGGGTCCCTGGGCAATAGTTAAAAACGACGGATTTCTTTCGTGCGACAGTCTGACTGACTGACTGATATAGAAGATTTAACTTGCGCTTTCCGACTGTAGCGTATTTCGCACACGGATGCGACAGTATTTTCATGTTCCTTTAATACACTGTCACAACTTTTCGTTGTCACTTGAAACACAGTCAACGTCAGTGTCGATAGCACGTATTGCACGGAGTGCACGTGCAGTACGTGTTATTTCGGTTGAACTCAGCTGCAATAAGTCACCAGGAGCAATATGGGTCACACGTGATCAAATGGAGATCTGCCATTGGACAAGAGCCTTCAGGTGTCCTTTGTGGTCCATCCAAAAACTTATAACAGCAAATGTTGTGTGTTCTCTTGGTACGCAATGATCAATGTTTTTCTGTGAAAGCAGGTATGGGCAATTGCATAAGAGAATAAGACGGCGGATAAAGAAATGCCCTGTGGTGCTGGGGGAAGAATGAGAGAGCAAGTGTTTAACCTACATGTGGCTACGTGTTTTTGATAGAGTGTATGTGAGTGAATGAATTTTCCGCTTTTAACAATATTCCAATTATATCACGGCGTGTCAGCTAAAAGTGGGAGGAAAGCCCGAAGTGATGCAGGTCTTAGACGTTTACCACTTCGGTGAAACCCACGAGCACGGGTATGGTGTGGGACTCAGAACACAGAGGGACCCTATGCGAAGTGCTTGTGATGATGTCACGACGTACAAGTATTGATATAACGACCGGCGCGAACCATTATTACGCCGACATTTGCAACACATAACGTGAGCGTGTGTCAGAACACGTGTGCAACAGTTTAAGGGGATATGTGTAAGTAGGCTGAGGTTTTTGTCATCCTTATTTCCAGAAGTAACAGTGGTTACTTCCCCCCCCCCCCAGTAGAGGAGCAAGGCAGTGTTACCCTGCCGGAGTATGTTTAGGAAATATTCGTTCATGAAGAGTGTGAGGGTATGTGTGTCCCAAACATATATGAATAGATATACTTGTGTCGGTATCTTCGTTGGTAAGGCGAATTATAAAAGGGAAATATGTCTCAGGCATAGGACCGCCTCCGTGGTCTAGTGGTAGAGCATCCGCCCGGAGAGCGAAAGGTTCGGGGTTCGATCCCTGGCCGCGTCATACCAAAAGACGTTAATAGATGGTACTTGTTGTTACCCTGTCTGGCGCTCGGCATTAAGGGGCTAAAGCAAGGACTTGTCGGCTCGGAGTCAGTATACTGTGTCTGAGTGGGGTATTCATGTTAAACTGCGGCATGGTATCTTAGTGAGCTAGCACTATAAATCGGCATCAGTCCGGACTAGTACAAGCAGCCACACAAACAAACACACGTACATGCACGATGCTATATAAGTGCAATAATCTTGGACGCGACGTTGAACCCCATTTCACCTCACCTCACCTCACCTCAGGCATAGGTGCATCACTTCAAATTTCCCACGTCATTTGAAGCATACTCTGTTCTCCATAAACAAATGATTGACAACTGACAATGTGTTAAAAGGCCGAGTTCAATGGTTGACCAGTTGCTATCCTTGGTGGAAGAAAATATAACACATGTTTTCAATAAAAACAACAACATATAAACAAAGTTCTTAGGGCTCGGACGAGTCCATTTTTACTACCCGTGTACCCACACCCCTATTACCCGACCCTACCCGCTGTTGGTGTCAAGAGATAGGTACAAAATGTCCGATTGGGAATAGTTTGACAGTTGCCCTGGCAGAATGTATTTAGATACACGTATAAAACGATGTGGTCATGCATACACTGAAGCTGACTGACGTTTCAGCTTTGTTCAAACATATGTAAGTCAGAAGGAACGTGTTCATAGTTACGAAGAAATGCGAACATTAGAGACTTAAAATTGTCGTGTAACAACGTAGTTATATTGTGAATTTTTGTCATGAAACAATATATCACGTGACTAAACACGGGTTCGGGTAGTCCTGTGGGTACCCGGGTCCTACACAGTACCTACCCGACCCGAGTACCCGAGTTACCCGTCCCAGCCCTTATAGTCCTACTGCCTTCTTCAAAAGTATGCCCGAGAAACCTTTTCATTTCTCTTTAATGCAGCCTTATACATGTGTGTTTAGGGACCAGGTTGTCTATGGGTGCAAAACGTGCTGTTTCGTTAGATTTCCCACATGAACTGACTGTGCAGTCCGTGAAGCCTGCGTCACAGGCCTGATATACCGGAATATTGCTGAAACCATGCTGATAATTCCCTGATATATTTTGGTGCCACACGTACCTTTCGCCGACTTTTGTATATTTTCAAATGATATGTTAATTGATGATATGGCTGCGTGTAGGCTATGTATTCATATGATTTAGTACATTCAGTTAGAGAGTATTTAAACCCTTTTCCCATCTGCAGTGTCGTATTTCAAAGGAAAACTATTATAAATCTGAACTTTTTTATTCCTGTGGTATGAACTTCACACACTCACAACAGCCCTGCAGACCACATTTTGACAAGAAGGTCAAACAGCCAGCTGTAACTGATAACGGTTAACGGGACACTGAACAACTGTCATCTTGATTACATTGACGTCAGAAATTATAGGATAACGTTCATCGCAGCCCTCATTTTACCATAAATAGGCACTTAAACCAACAGTTTCTCCTCGAATAGTATGAGCATATAAAGATATATAAATATTAATGAAAAGCTCAACAGCTATCGATATCCGCTCTATTCAATGAGACAGATGGTTATTGTGTTGGGCATGTAAGAATAGGCTGTGCAATATGTTCATCTTTTGGTAGACCTTTTCTTCCATTATTGTACGCACATTCATGAAAATTCTGTACAACCTCTGGTCGGTATTTGCATCATGATTTCTGTTTTTCAATGGAAAGCCATTAATTAATTTCAAAATGGCATGAAAAGCAGAATACAATAAAAGTTTGGGTAGACGAACAGCACGGGGCTATAAAACAAAAACGTTTCTCTTTCACCGAAAGAAGATCACATCCTCAAATTGACCCCGTGAAAATCCGGGGTGTAATTGGTCTTCAGCAACCCTGCTTGTCATTTGAAGCGACTAACGGGATCGGGTGGTCAGGCTCGTTCTCTTGGTTGATACATGTCATCGTATCCCAATTGCGTAGAGTGGTGTTCATGATATCAACCACTGGATTGCCTGGCCCAGACTTGCTTATTTACAGACCGCCGCCATACAGCTGGCATATTTCTGAGTGCGACGTTAAATAACAAACAAGGTCTTTATATTACTGAATACTGTATTTCCTTCTTCATGTTTATCGACAGGTGGATGTGCGCTGATCTGGTGTCTGGCATGGCTTGCCATAGTATACGACAAACCGGAACTCCACCCAAGTATATCACCCGACGAAAAGTCTTACATTTTTCAACACAGGACCAATGTGGACAATGATCGTAAGGTGTGTTATTAAGGTGACACCATGCCATGTTTAAGACGAAGAATTATGTTAACTGTACAATTTACAGCGTCAGATTGAATGTTAAATTTAACTCCGTAATGATAATGAGTGGAGAGGCACGATTGAACCGATAAATTGAGTATGCTATTGTATTTTTATACGCAAAGGTCTTAACATACACCCATACATCTTACTCGCTTATATGAGAGGTAGAAGAAGTGAACAGCACAGCTGCTTCGTAAGCCAACATTAAGTGGTCCCAACAAACGAGAACAGACACTACACTGTTAGTCGAGTTCTGTCTTGTTTTCTGTCCAAAACGATTTGCCACACATAATTTGAATGTTGTAGCAATAGCTAATATAATTTGTTTTTCGTTGAACGAGATAATATTTTTGGTAAAGCCTGTGAACAAATTGACCTTTTTCCTTTTATTTCTATGATTATGTTTAGCTATTGGCCTAGTTAAGGGCCAGTTAATAGGTATTCTTAAATCTTAAAAAGACTTAAAAAGTACCACGTGCAGAACGGGCTTGACACACTTTGAATGGCAGGCGTGTGCCTTGAACAGGGAGTGAGTTGGGTTTTATGCCGCTTTTAGCAATATTCCAGCAAAATCATGGCGGGGGTCCTTAAAGATGTTGTTTCTTAGAAGTGTTTAAAATGACATATTAACATTCAAGTTTAGGGACGTGTGCAAGTTCAGGGACGCGTGCAAATATAGGAGCGGGTGCAGGTTCAGGGACGTGTGCAAATTTAGGAGCGGGTGCAAGTTTAGGGACGGGTGCAAGTTTAGGGACGGGTTTAGGAATCGAGAAATTATGTAATCAAGCCACTTTTTTGTTCGGTAAACTCAATTTGTGAACCAGCGCAGTTTTGGTTGAAATGTGTTCGTGCCACCGTCCCAGTTGGGATTCAGGTTCAGAAAGGGTTCCAGGGATGTCCCCACCAGGCTGATGACATGGACCGAGTGCCATACCGGCTGCTGGGTGTGCCACAGATTCACACATTTATAGGCTAACTCATTCCAGGACCAAACGAAGAGTTAAGATCGAAGTGTCAAGGTTGACTCCAAAATGAAAATTGATTTTTTTTCGAGAGCTGGGACGATTGTTAACTTAATTTTTGTAACCGGTTTTCTTTTTGTTAAATACAAACCTGCCACTAGTTCTGTAACCTAATAACCTGTGAAACCCAAAGCTTCCTTCTTTATCCGCCACCATCGATCCAAAATCACTAACAATAATCTATGAAGTCTGTCCACGTTTCTTTCAGACGGCATGACGGGCGTTCTATCGGGGACCTCGACCAGCCTTCTAGATATGAAGCAGTGATCAATGGGCTTTTATGCACAGCACTGTGACCTCGGTGGTATTTGTTGAAAACTTTACATGCTCGACATATTTAGCGAAACTAAGTTATGCTAAGAGGGACGTGCCAGGGTGATCAGCTGAGAGCATTGGTATTGACTGTGAAGGATTCCACCCTCGACACAGCGAACCAGTGAGCAAATCTAATCAGCCTTGGGAAAGGGATCAGAAATAATCAAATAAACTTTAAGAGACAGAGATCTGTATTTGGTGCGATTCCGAGGACAAATACTAGAATACTAATGAAGAAATCCAAGACCGCCACTGTTAATTTGTACATTTAGCGAGGGAAAGGTGTCAGCGTAAAAGAGAAAATCAAATAGCCCGGAATAAGTCGGCCAGTGACAAGAGATGGATGCCGAACAAATTAGGCCTTGTGAGGTTTGTGGATGTGTGGTTGTGAAAGCCAACTGGAACCTAGATTCAATTTTAATTTTGTGTGAGCGCTATGTGTATTTGATTCCTGGGTATTCCGGCGCAGTGTTGGTCCAGGCAGACCATGCTTGCCTTAAGAGACGACTAACTTGGGAATCAGGTGGACACGGTGTGCGATTTGGTTGTTAATGGGTCATCGTACACCATGTTGAAACCAGACTAACATTTAGTCCCAGGAATAAAGTTATCATATTTAAAAATATGTATCTACAAACTAAAAAATATAATCTAAATGAAGCCCTGAAAATGCTTAATTTCAGCTGAGGCAATCTAGACTTGCCAACTCATTCTTGGCTTGAGTTTTTACGATTAATTCTCCAGTGTCTGGGCATCTTCCCGAGACAAGGGCGTTACCTAAAGTCCAGTTTCCACCACCCTTACTGAGAGAGAGAGAGAGAGAGAGAGAGAGAGAGAGAGAGAGAGAGAGAGAGAGAAAACGAGAGATTGAGAAGAGTGAGAGGTAGAGAGAGGAGAGAACGTGAGGTAAAGAGAGAGAGGAGAGGTGAGGTGAGGTAAAATTGGGTTTAACGTCGCGTCCAAGGCTATTGCACTTGTACAGCGACGTGAAAATATTGGCTAGAATAACCAGTCTATACATTGTCCTATCAAAATCATAACGAAATCGACATCCGATTCAAAAGCAACATGGGGACTGCTGTGCAGCTTTCGATCAATTGCAGGATTTTCAGAGCATGAGTACCGTCAACTGGGCGTCTACAGATGTTTAGGCGACTAACGGGATCGAGTGGTCAAGCTCCCTGACTTGGTTGATGCGTCTCCCAATTGCGTGGATTGATTCTTGTGATCACGACATGTCAGGTTGATGTGGGAGGAAAGCCCGAAGTGATGATGGGAGTATACGTTTACCACCTACAGTATAGTGCAGGTAAACCTGGAAACAAAAGAAAGGCAAACTGGGATTCGAACCCACTGATATGATCTTCCTACGTGAACTGTGCAGGGAGTTCTTTATGCTGCTATTGGTTGTGTCTGTACTTGACCGTGCGCAGTAACCTCATCGCCTTGGCAGCGATTTACTCATCTCTGGTGGTATACGCAATTCGATGTGAAGAGTTGCATCCCTCTAGCGTGCCACCTATGATCATGGGTTCGAGTCCCAGTTGTCTCAAATTGTTTCAAGGTTCGCCTATATCCGAGGATTACACCAACGTGGTAAGCGTCACAGACTCGGACTTTCCCCTCACATTAAGCTGACACGTCGTGATATACCTGTAATACTGTACAAAGCGGCGTTAAACCCAACCCACTCACTCAACCTTGAATAGTCCAGACTTTTCCATTAAGCTAATAGGTGTTGGCTCAGCTTATCCCTTTGCCACTGTAAAACAAATGGTTGATTTGTTTGTTTGTACTCAGCAATATTCCAGCTATATGACGGCGGTCTGTAAATAATCGAGCCTGGACCAGACAATCCAGTGATTGACATCATGAGCATCGATCCACGCAATTGGGATACGATGACATGCATCAACCAAGTCAGCGAGCCTGACCACCCGATCCCGTTAGTCGCCTTTTACGGCAAGCATGGGTTGCTGAAGACCTCTTCTACCCCGGATCTTCAAGAAGTGTGTATAATACTACCTTTGACACCGGAGAGCTTGTGGCATTATCAGTTTAGTGACCATACTGCCGAAGGAGGAGCACACAATTTTAGACAAAGACATCCACCAAAGTATTTCCTAATCACTACCTTGTATTGTTCAGTCGAGTTGAAGCGGGAAATAAGGAATATGGGAGACTGTCAGAAGTCGCCGAAAACAGTGGAGTGAGCACGGTTTTACGTCGTGTTCAACAATATTCCAGCAGAATCACCACGGGGGACACCAGAATGGGCTTCACGCTTTGTCCACATGAAGGGATTCAAACCTCGGCTTTCACCGTGACGAGCGAACGCTTTAACCAAGTGTATATTCATTTGTTTTAATGTTTAACTACTTAAAACATGAGCGAATATGTGAAACATAACATTGTTTGGATAAAACAAATACATGAACTAGAACAAAAACGAAAATCGAGGCGACCTAATACTTGGGAATTTAAACAAAACACGTTCACAAATACATTTTAAATATTCATGTACTTCAGTGCAAAACTAACATATGCTACAACATGCACGTGGTCTGTCTCTCAGCCCCTGAACCATGTTATTTTCCTTTCCGCCAAGCCTTTGCTGTAATGTTGTAGCCCTAGATGAAGCAAGTCTAGATTTACCACAGGTCCTTCCATCTCAATGAGGCTCTTTTTTAATTCAAATGTTGTTGCTTGTTTCTTTCAAAAAGCATATATTTTCAGAGACTACGCGTTAGTCTCGATTTATGGCCACTTCAGACACAATGTGCTCTTCACCGACCCATCGAAATCACGTGATCGACTTGTATATTTCAAATAACGAATGCTTGTCCATTTCACTCGCGGTCAGGAGCTGGTGTTGCAGTGCTAGCCCACAATGGCGATGGAAGGAAAACCTTTCGACGCGCTGGGTAAGCTGTGATTAAAACATAATAGGCGAATAACTTGTTGCCGTTGGCGATAGTTGGGAACGTTGTGTGCGTGTTGAGGGTGGGGGACTGCTTTGTGTCGCACGGAACAGAGGATACCGCGTCACCGAATACCACGTGCTCCTTAAATTCTAGGTCGCCATTGTTGCTTTTCAATCTTGAAAATCTTCACATGAACCGCTTGTTGATATGCCGGATTTGGGGTTAATTTAGACATGTACTAACCCCTCAATACACCACTACTAATGAAGATGACGATAACATCATCATCATCATCATCATCATCATCATCATTATGGTGTATTAACTTAGCCCACGGTCAGCCCTAGCTGTTTCCCGTGTGCGAAATACGCTAGAAGTCGGAAAGCGCACGTAAAATCCCCAATGTAAGTAAGTAAGTAAGTACCTAGCTGTTTCTACCGAAGACCTTTGATTGATTGATTTTATGATTAATGCGAATCAATCAATTTCAGGGAACGGATGTGTCCATTCATACATGTTTGCAGACGTAGGCCATCCAAACATGTCTGATGTTCAACTGCACACGTTTGTATACCGCCGCAGCAATTAAGCCAACAATTAGGAGAAATTAAGAATTCTCCGAATGCAACTTTAAACAATATCTACGCAAACAAGGCTAGACTTAGAAAAGGTAGGGTTGGTGGTATCCAAGTTTTCTAATGAACAAAATAGAAGAACTGAAAGTTCAAATAAATACTTTAAATTCGACAATTTGTAAGGAAAGGGGTTGAATAATTTTGTAAAGTAGGGTGATGGGAAGTTCTTTCCATGCATGTCATCGTATCCAAATTGCGTGGATCGATGCTTCTGATATCAATCCCTGGATTTTCTGGTCCAGACTCGATTATTTACATATAGCTGGAATATTGCTGAGTGCGGCGTAAAACAACCAAACAACCAACCATGGAGATGTAGATGCGAGCTATTATGTGTTAAGGGCCGCGTCCACCAAAGCGACCACATAACTGACCACATTGTACCACAATGCTCTCACACTGTACCACAATGCTCTCACACTGTACCACAATGCTCTCACACTGTAACACAATGCTCTCACACTGTAACACAATGCTCTCACACTGTACCACAATGCTCTCACATTGTACCACAATGCTCTCACACTGTACCACAATGCTCTCACACTGTACCACAATGCTCTCACACTGTACCACAATGCACTCACACTGTAACACACCTGCTCACATTGCTGCAGCCTCTCTCACTCATATTGCAGACCCTGGTAAGGATAAGTCTTCAGCAACCCATGCTTGCCATAAACATAGTAAAAGGCGACTATGCCTGTCGTAAGAGGCGACTAACGGGATCGGGTGGTCGGGCTCGCTGACTTGATTGATGATGTCATCGTGTCCCAACTGCCTAGATCGATATTCATGACGTCAATCACTGGCTTGTTTGGTCCAGACTCGATAATTTACAGACCGCCGTTATATAGCTGGAATATTGCTGAGTGCGGTGTTTAACAACAAACAAACATAACTTAACTCAGACTTAGTCGTAAGACGGCATTACATATCGTGGCCGTCAGCTTTCCCCGATTTGCCCGGCATGAAAACCGAGGTCGTTGTATTTTATTTGTTAGTGGATAAGTGAGTTAAGGCGATGGCCGCTTTGAACAGTATTTCAGTTACATTATGACGTGAACTGTGATCAATGTTGCTGTAAAACTCAGGCCTAAATATCTGAGACCAGCATCACTTCGGGCTTTCCTCCCACATTGAGCTCACACGCCGTGATATGACTGGAATACTGTTAAAAGCGGCGTTAAACCCAACTCACTCACTCACTCAGGCCTTGAACTATGTACCTATTTGATGTCATCAACCCTCCATAGCAACGTGGGATGCATTCAACGGATATGCCACCTGTTCCCCTTTCTGTATGACGTTTTTCTGGGTAAAATGAAGTAAACGAGATGTAAAATATACATGTACTGATAGGACTCATTAAAATGGGAGCTGTCTGGGCTCGGCATTCCGGGTCTAAAACAAGGACTGGGCAATCTGGAGTGTCTGAGTGGGGTATTCATGTTACACTGCGGCATGTTATCTCAGTGGGCTAGCGCTATAAAATCAGAGAGAGAGAGAGAGAGAGAGAGAGATGCTGTATAAGTTACATAATCTTGAACGCATTGAACGCGACGTTAGGCCCCGTTCACCTCACTACACCTCACCTCACCTCACCTCACCTCGAATGGGAGCGTGTGCCAATGCCCTCATAGGTCAGTGTTCATATGGTAATGACGGCCCATATTTCATCAATTACAGCTTCACTTGACGTCAGGTACAGTAATTATGAGCTTCATAATGTCATAATTGTGTATTAATGACACACGAACATCAGTTTCATAATGGAATTAATTCCTGTATGACCTTAACCGTTTAACACAGATAATGCATGTTTCATTAGATTATATCATTTATATGCATGAAGATGAGATTTTTCGTAACTTGACAAAACTACAGGGGATATAATCTATTAGTTATGGTGCGCGATGTATTATTCAGATAGGCCGAAGACATTTGAAATGTGATTAAACTCCAGACCTACGCAACTTACCGATCAGATGCAATACAATCTTTCGGCAACAAGTCAGATGCAGTGTCGTCAGTTCTGCAGCCTATCAGACACGACAATGTCAGTTCGGCAACAAGTCTCATACGATAAAGTTAATTCGGCTACTTATCAGATACAATACATTCAGTTCGGCAACAAGCTTTGTTAGGTACGCAGTAGTGAGTTCGGCAACAAGCTTACTCAGACACGACGCAGTGGTTCAGTAACCCATCACACAATGTATTCAGATCGACAACAAGCTTTGTCAGGTACGCAGTAGTGAGTTCGGCAACAAGCTTACTCAGACACGACGCAGTGGTTCAGTAACCCATCACACAATGTATTCAGTTCGGCAACAAGCTTTGTCAGGTACGCAGTAGTGAGTTCGGCAACAAGCTTACTCAGACACGACGCAGTGGTTCAGTAACCCATCACACAATGTATTCAGTTCGGCAACCTATCAGCTACAATTTAGTTAGTTCAGCTTCCAATCACAAACGATGATGTCAGTGTCACGGTGCCAGATAACGGCCCCTCAGGGACTGATGCTTGCCCTATAGGGTTTACAACCCTAGCTGTGTCTAGAGAATTCACAGGCACCACTGAGACCCTCGCAACAAGTTAGAGACAAAAAAACAATACATCAAACCACATGCATCCAATAACTCTGATAGTAGATCATAACAGACATAACTGAAGTACTGGGGGAACGGGTGGCCCAGTCGTCTAAGGCGCCGCGATTCATTGTGCAGAGTTGCGTCCCTTGGGCACGCCAGAAACCTATGATTGTGGGTTCGAATCCCGGTTCGCCCCGATTATGTTTCTAGGTTTGTCAGCACCATACCCGTGCTTGTGGGTTTCACCGAAGTGGTAAACGTCTGAGACCTGCACCACTCGGGCTTTCCTCCCACATTAAGCTGACACGCCGTGATATAACTGGAATACTGTTAAATGCGGCGTTAAACCCAACTCACTCACTCACTCACTAACTGAAGCACTCTTGACACTTCATTTAATAAAGACCATAATGTAAGTAATGACCTACCAACAGAAATACTCAATAAACAAACTGACCAAGATCTCTGTGTAAATTAGTCACACATTTGACAAATAACAGATAACTATGACACCAGATAACGTTAACGCCAGGTCTAAGGAAGAAGAGCCAAGGAACTGACCAAGTTTGCCCCATGTCCGTAGCCAGTGAGAGGTCCGGGTCAGCAGTGGTGTGAGTCCTCCGTGGGAACTGACCCATGGAAGGCCAGGACCATCTTTATTACGCTGGCTCGGACTGAGGACCCTGGCTCGGACTCGCTACTAAATAGTTGTAAACAGCCTCTTGGGGCCAAACTGTTAACAAATACCAGTTAAATAAAACTTTACTATTTTTGACACTATTTTGAAATGCAGAATCAGGCCAATTATTACAGCTGCTAATTAAAATCATAGCGTAAAATCATTTAATTTCAAAATAGTAAATGTACACTGTTTCAAAAACTCTTAAAATTAATACACCGTCCACTACCTTGCCGGAGACCAGATCCGTGGTACCCGGCACCGGACACCTCAGCGGAAAGCGTGCCTCCTGGTATCCGGGTATCCGGCAAGGTATCTGCCATAGGATACCCGGATGCGATGTGGGTGAGTGTTCGGAGGTATCAGGAAGTGATCCGGAAAACGGAAACCGCATTTTTTTTACTGTGAGTTCGTTCACTGTGGGATGCAGTAAGGTTTGAATAATATCCATGTCTTTTTCTAGATGAGAAACTACAAGAACTTGTGAACGCCGCCTTCGACATGAAGGGTTGTGCCTACTGCCCATACAGCAACTTCCATGTGGGATGCGCAGTGTTGACAGAAAGTGGAGAAGTATACGCAGGTAACATGGAAACAGAGCCCTGAGCGACGGATCGGTGCATTGCGATATTACACAAATCCATTCGATAGGAGATACAAGAGGTATTATTTCCCAAATTGTTTTTATTATCTACATGTCAGATGTGGGATTAGTAAATGGGACTTCATGGCGTGATTATATTTAGTCTGATCTTCAAACATGTCATAATTGCAGTCTTGAAGACAAGGTGTCTAAATATTTCCAGATCATGTCACTTTACTGTTGCAGGCTTCATGGTGGTGGGTAGACAAGGAACCACTATTTTGATCATGTCACTTTACTGTTGCAGGACCCGTGAAGATTCCGGGGTAGAATAGGTCTTCAGCAACCCATACTTGCCGTAAAAGGTGACTTTGCTTGTCGTAAAAGGCGACAAACGGGATCGGGTGGTCAGGCTCGCTGACTTGATTGATGCATGTCATCGATCCTAATTACGTTGATCGATGCTCATGATATCAATCACTGGATTGTCTGGTCCAGACTCGATTATTTACAGACCGCCGTCATATAGCTGGAATATTGCTGAGTCCGGCGTTAAACAACAAACCAACGAACCAACAAACCAACCAACCAACCAACCAACCCAATCACTGTTGCAGGCTTCATGTTGGTGGAAAGACAAGGAGCCACTATTTTGAACATGTCACTTCACTGTTGCAGGCTGCAACGTTGAAAACGCCTCCTACGGTCTAAGCATATGTGCTGAAAGGGTAGCCATGACCAATGCTTTATCCAAAGGTCATCGCAAGTTCAGAGCAGCGGCAGTTTCCTGGTAACGACTTTGTGTTTTATACCTACAATCGGAGAGACTATTCAAGGATATAGACTCCCTGCTACAATCTATTCTATTATTTACAACGGACCTCGCTAACGTGTGTGAAATATTTCTTATGTTCCCCGCTTAGATTGCGGAACTGTTGGCATTATATTTTCAACATACCAACCGCAATTTGTATCGCTAATTATAGATGTGAAACGCCATTCTCCGGTTATTAACGATATTTTCCGAATGAATTAGATCAAAGGGTAGTAACTCTAAGTTTATTTTGTGTCTGCTGTAAATGCCTAACTGTGGTGTTTTTACCTATTCCGACCAAATCATGCATGCATAAGACATGCGGGCAATATAATTAGGTGTGCGGTGAGTTCAATTCGTTGTCCAGCGGCCCATGGCACATGGCCTGATGTACCTCTGCGCTAGTTTATGTTCCCCCCGAGACTTGTGGACAACTAACATTATGTCCCACCCAGGCTTCATTGTGTGAGCAGCCTGCCTGGCGTTAAGCATAAGTGGGATAAAACAAGGATTCGTCGCCTCGGAATGTCTGAGAGGGGTATTCATGCATGTTCAATTGCGGCATGGTATATAATGATATGTTTATTTATTATATGGCTCTGTGTAGGCTGTGTATTCATATATTTTAGTTCATTAAGTTAAAACATACATTGAAAGGAGAATCCGAGACTTCTGATCAAAATAATGGTGAGTAGTCTGTATGAGTGAGAGAGAGAGAGAGAGGGGGGGGGGGGGGGGGGGGGTGTTTGTGTGTTGCTTAGGGCCGCCCTCAGCTATATGACGCAATTTGAAAATATTCCAGTGATTGACATTATGCACATCGGTGTACCCAATTGCGTTACGATGGCATGAATCGACCAAGTCAACGCGCCAGACCACCCGATCCCTTTAGCCAGACCACCCGATCCCTTTACCAATGCTTACGATAACCATGGATTGCTGAAGATCCATTTTACCCAGATTTTCACGAGTAAAGATAATCTTGTACGCGATGTAAAACCAGGTCACCCCACCGAGTAACGCTACAGCTGGAAAAATGCTGACTGTGGCGTCGAAAAAAAATTACTAAAAAACCAAACCAGTGTATCAATGATTTAAATGGTAAACTGGTATTCTGAAATATTCCTGAACTTGTTCGACCGTGAGTTCAACAGATATTTGATGTCAACTACCGGTCGGTTGCTCACCATCACAAAGGGCATTTTCCCGAAGCGGTAAAGTCCACAATAGTAAATCAAAGTCACTGTGAAAATTTTTTTATTGGTTATAGTGGACACTCTTGCCTCTGGAAGGTGTAAAAAAATAATAAGAAGAAGAATACCACACCAATCACTTTTAAGGATCAACTTACCCATGTTCGTTCCATCGTCGGTAATTATCTGCCCTGAGAGCCCATCGAATAGTTTTCTGTGTCTATCTGACAGAAGATGAACTATATGTGTTTATTTCAGCGACGTAGTGGACACCTTCAAAGGACCATGTGGAGCCTGTCGGCAGTTTTTTATTGAGGTACAAACAATTACTGACTGTTTAAATTATCTTTTCATTAAACGAGTGAGTGAGTGAGTGAGTTACACTTGGGTTTTAACAGTATGTCACGTCAGGTGAAGCTCAGATACTTTCGGCAGTTTGACTCGTGGGAGCTTCTCTGCTTCGGTCCCACCCCGCCTTGTTCGAAATGTGCTTTTGTCCAACCAGCAATGAATGGGTACCCGGTAGGATGAAATGGTAATGTGTCGCCTTCTAGCGACTCAAAAGCACTTGGGTTGTATACTCCCGTGGGTCTGAGAATGAAAATCGAGTGCACACTGAACGGGGCAATAATGTAGTCCTTTGAGCATGCTTCAGGGCGTGGCTTTAGCGCATAAAAGTATGCACATTATTAATATCATGACGCCAAGCCCACGAGCTCAGTATGGTTGCCAGTCCACGGTTAATGAGGATTACCACAGTAAATACCCAAACAGTCATTGAAACATGCAAATATCTCTTGGTTTCTTAGTTCGGGCTGGATTGGGACTTGTACATGGTCAAACCGGACAAGACGTGGATGAAGATGCAGATGGGAGAGCTGGTGCCGTTACCTTTTACCCCAGCCTCGTTGCAGGAGGAAAGAGTCAAATAAGAAACACGAGCTGCTCTGCAATGCTAACATCGAACACGTTTATCACGAAGTATCGTACGTCAATTCCACGAGTATACACGGGATGTTCCAACATTCAGTCGTCACGGTCACAGCTGACAGCATCCAAAATGGCGAAAACGATATTCGACTGGTTTCGGTAGGGTGCCCCACCTACGACTATCGATGACATATGCAACAAAAACAGATGTTCCTTAACAAGTTTAACAGCAAATCGGTAAAGCAGCAATGTATCGGTATTTTATCGATACCCCGAACTAGTTTGTAACACAGGCTGCTGATAAAGTTCACTATGATGTAATTGTATGTGAAGATGTTTGAATCTGAGCAATAAAACCTGATAAAGTAACTATAGTTTCCATACGTTTTTAAAAAAAAAAAGATTCCCATGGCATATCCTTCAGAGATGAGTACCATGCCCGTTGGGGTTGACGGCGGAACATGTCCTCCACATCCCGTGCATCAAGTGTTGATTTAGGACGATCTGGTGGTTACAATGCGTGATCTGGCTGACAGCGTGGTCACGTGCCCAATGTTGTGGAGCGATGCTCATGCTGTCAACCACTGGTCTGCCAGGCAAATGCTGGATTATTGGAAGGCTGTCGTGACATCGCATCACCTGACGACTGTCAAGAACTATGTTTGTAACGTTTTCCACGAGTTGTATTCATTTTCGGCCCCCGTTCAAGAACCGATCGAACCCGTGAAGATCCGGGGAAGAATAGGTCTTCAGCAACCCATGCTTGCCGTAAAAGGCGACTATGCTTGTCGTAAAAGGCGACTAACGGGATCGGGTGGTCAGGCTGACGCTGACTTGGTTGATGAATGTCATCATATTGCGTACATCGATGCTCATGATGTTAATCACTGGATTGTCTGGTCCAGACTCGATTATTTACAGACCGCCGTCATATAGCTGTAATATTGCTGAGTGCGGCGTTAAACAACAAACAAACAAACAAACAAAGCGATCGTAGTGCTACGGCAATCACTTAACTCCTATACTTTAACGTAGGCTCACGAGTATCGTAGCGCTGCGACAGCTTTGTGAAATAGGGCCCTGGGTAAGAGACGCTAACTCAGTACTTTTTCGTAATATGATCGGTGACTTGGTTGGTTGCGCGTCATCGTACTCCGACGGCGTGGAACGTTGCTCATACTATCGACCACTGGTTTGTCTGACCAAGACTCGATTATTCACAAGCCGTTGTGGTATTGTTACATTAGGACAAAAGGTTTGTTAAGCTACAAATAAGCATGGTAATTTCAGTAACACTTTGTCTCAATCACGTAGGGCGGTGGGGTAGCCTAGCGGTTAAAGCGTTCGCTCGTCACGCCGAAGACCCGGGTTCGATTCCCCACATGGGTACAATATGTGAAGCCCATTCTGGTGTCCGTGATATTGCTGGAATATTAATAAAAGAGGCGTAAAACCATATTCACTCACTCGTTCAATCAATAATATATTGATACTTTATCAAGGAAATCATATTCCGAATGCTAAAATTGTTGTTGTTTCCGGTTCCCTGTGTGAGAAGTAAATGGCTAGCATATGCAATAAACACTGCCGCAATGGCGCGAAAAGAAATAGTCCCGCCAAGTGGCATTAAGTGGCGAGGTTTCGACGTCATGCAGACACGCATCAGATGAGCACGCAATCCTATACACTCATGGACTTGCTATCAGATGTATCTGCGTTGATTTCAGCCCTGTGGGGCCCTTGAATCCCTGTAAGTGAAGAATTCTTTATGCCACAGCCGAAGTAAACTTAAGAGTGAGTGAGTAATGTTTTACGCCGCTTTTAGCAATATTCCAGCAATATCACGGCTTCACATGGGCTTCACACATTGTACCCATGTCAGGAATCGAACCCGGGTCTTCGGCGTGACGATCGAACGCTTTAACCACTAGGCTACCCGACCGCCCCAGTAAACTTAAGATGAAACACAGAGGCCGTTCCCTGATTGTACATGTAGTACCTGGAGCATTCGTCACCACTCGCCCCTTTCCGTAATCTACAAGAAGACTCGTCCCCCTATCGATGAATGTTATGTACGAAAATACGGCAAACCCCAATCAGAATGCGGGTATGACTTCAAGTACCCAAGATCACGATGTGTTTTTAATGCATCTGCAATTTATATGATATTTGGGGAAAATATGCGTGAATCATTACGCAACGAGGTGACAATTCTTGTAGCTGTGCCCATTTGCGCTCAGACGGAACCCCGTCGTAAAAATGGCCACGAGTCGCTTTTCGGCTTGTCCGGCAATAACACGAGTTGTCCAGGTGAGTCCCTAGAGCCGGCAAATTACATCGATGCTGTGTTGTGTTGTGTTGATTGCATGTCATCACAGCACGGCGACTTGGGAGGCTGCTTCATCTGCCAGTCACTGGCTTCGATTATTTACAGGTCGCCTTGATAGAGCTATATCAATGTTGTTGACATCCACCAAGACAGGAAGCAATCGATAGTTTTAGAGCACCCCATCGTGACCGTGGGTTCGAATCCCGGTTTGCTCCGATTATGTTTCTAGGTTTGTCAGCACCATACCCGTGCTCGTGGGTTTCACCAAAATGGTAAACGTCCGAGACCTGCATCACTTCGGGCTTTCCTCTCATATCAAACTGAAATGCCATGATGTAACTGTTCAAAGCGGCGTTAAACCCAACTCACTCACTAACTCGGAAACAGTGACTATGACTATGGTTCGGACTTGTTTGTTTCTTGTCTAACCTGTGGTCAGCAAAGGTTCCACCTGTATGAAGATGTTCTGTAGATAATCGAATCTAGACCAGACACACCAGTGACTGATATTATGAGCACATCTCAATGTCCGTACAATGAAAGGCAATATTACAGGTTACTAGTCGGATGAGGAACTATCATGAAACATCATGTACGCCCAAATCTCATCTATGCCTTGACTTTGTAATGAGCAACTTGTGTGAAACGGGGACGCTGTCTGTGGAAGCAGAGTAATCATTAACTACTAGATAGATATGCTCAATCAAGTCTCTGTTAGCTGATACAAGCTGTCGTGTTTTAACTATATTAATCAAACCTCTTAGGACTGCCAATTTAACCCAAGACAGACAATGTCTCATGCTCCTATTAGTCATGTTTGGTCATGGCAATCCAGACTTCTTTGAAGGGTAATCAAATAAAGTTTTAAATCGTTTTACTCCTAAATTCAAAAGACGGAAAATTAAATATTCAAATGTTGATGGGATTACAAGTTCACAGTCTTTGAATGTAAAGTATATTGTCAATGCAGTCTAAATCATTCTGTTTATCAAAGAGTGAATGACCTTGACTATCGATGTGTCCTTGATGTATACTGATTGCAAAATGTTAATTTCCCAGGTCAAGTACTGCGGAGGTTTGCAATGTGTGTGTCAATCTATTGTGAGATGTAAACATTGTATTGTGGTAACTTTAGATGTTACGATATCCGTGGATCACGGCACGTGACACGGCAGACCAATCAGGGCCGAGTATGGTGAACGGGTCGTCCGTGCAGCATGTGCAGTTAAGCCTTGTCTTCCGTCACGTGGAGTCGAGCAGAATTTTATGTTTGGCATGCCGGCCGGCATTCTTCGTTCTTTTCCCTTATCCCTGGTGGCAGCAGTGAAGAAAGTTTGAAGACACAACAAATTAAAATCCAACATGTGAGTGAAACACTGAAGAATTTGTATGTTATTTTCGTCACAGTTTTTGAGTAGTGTGTCTCACGGAGTCCGAACGCCGAACAGTCCTGCACTTTCAGGGGAGATTTTAAAATGCCAGGTATTGACTCTTTTCTGCATATATTTAGAACTTTTCCAAAATTAAGGCCGGGGGATCTGGTTTGAGTTTAAGACAAATGTTCAGGCACTTGTTTTACCACCGGGTCACCGTGTTGACGGTTTTGGTTTGTTCAGAGGAATCAAAGTCTGACTTTGAAACTTTCAAGAAGTAATAGATAGAACAAATTGACAGAACTGTTGAACATAACCAAAACGCAGTTTCTGATTTCCATAAATTGGCTCAAAAAGCTTCTGAAACCACTGATGAATTTGGAAAGACTTCCGCCCGTATCTCCCTCCTAAAGTTACATATATTTACCAAGAGCGTGTTTCTTCCATCTATCTATATATTTATATACATTTGAGGGATGTACGAGCGGAAGTCTTTCCCATCGTTTGACTTTAAAAGTTGAGGATGCTAATCCTTCATTTGCAAAATCAAATAAGGAAGAGCTTTGTGCTCAACATTTCTATGATGGTCTGCATTCCAAATCTGGTAAAGATCATGTACAAGTCATTGTTTTTCAGCTAGCTAAAGGGGCGGTGGGGTAGCCTAGTGGTTAAAGAGTTCGCTCGTCACGCCGAAGACCCGGGTTCTATTCCCGACATTGGTACAAAGTGTGAAGCCCCTTTCTGGTACCCGCCGCCGTGATGTTGTTGGAATATTGCTGAAAGCGGGGTAAAACCATACTCACTCACTCACTCAGCCAGCTAAACTCCCCAAAATTTGACAGTCCCAGAACATTCTGCGTATTAAATGATCATTTTGAAACAAAACTTGGTCATAAAGAGAAAGCCGTGTTGCTTCTAGTCAATGGGGTACAAATTATGGTGTAACGTCAGTCCTTTTGGTCACATGGTGCGGCTAGTTCCAGTAGAGGTACACATGGATACCAGTGTGGTATGCGAGGCTACACAGCGCGATTCTGTCGTAAGAGTGACAACCTTCTGCTTCACCATCCAAAACTGTTGACTTAGAATGCTACTAGTCGTTGATTCCGGCACATGTCATGCATTAGTGTTACCTCGTTTGAGAAGGCATTTCCAAATGTTCCAAGTGTTCATCCAGAAACCGAACTCGAAGCTTACCGGCTTATCCGTCGATTCATTAGATGCTGTTTTGTTTGTTTGTTGTTTTACGCCGTACTCAGCATTATTCCAGCTATATGACGGCGGTCTGTAAATAATCGAGTCTGGGTACAGTTAACGCGTATGTCCGTATTTATGAAAGCGTCTTTGATGATCATCTTGGTTGGGATTTCTTATCAAAATTTAACCGTGTAACTCTGTACCTAAAAATAACGAAATCAATTTGGGTAACTTGAATCGGATGACAGGGTTACCACAGTACATATGATGAATCTGTTGTCATACCATATAGATGTCAGTTTTCGGGCGTCTGTTTTGGTGGGAAGCTGTGTGATGAACAGATGATTGAACGAGGTGATTATTTTGAAAACAAGAAATGTCTGTTTGTTGGCAGGTGTGTTAGTTCAGGGCCTGTGTGTTGGTGGTGAATCCAGGACCTGTAAGAGGTTGTACAGATGTCAGACTGTTGGTGGGGCTCGAGTGTAAGGAATCTTCAGATAAACCTACACATGTGAAACAGGGGCATATGGATCATTTCCACCGGAAAGAGTTGGAAGCATTGCTCAGTGAATACAAATGCAGTAGTATGTGATTACGTATATATATTATGAAGTGTATTTATTTTCAGCTTCTATTTCATTATCTAAGTCTTAGTCCTGTTCAAGCACTGAACAAATAGCTTCATAACTGGCAAACACTCCAGCCCACATAGGAGGGGGAAGGGAGGGGGGATACGAGCGGGAGTCACTATGGCAAATTATGTACTTGACGTATGGTCCCGTGAAGATCCGGGGTAGAATAGGTCTTTAGCAACCCATGCTTGCCCGAAAGGGCGACCATGCTTGTCGTAAAAGGCGACTGACGGGATCGGGTGGTCAGGCTCGCTGACTTGGTTGATGCATGTCATCGATCCCAATTACGTGGATCGATGCTTATGATGTCAATGACTGGATTGTCTGGTCCAGACTAGAATATTTACAGACCGCCGTCATATAGCTGGAATATTGCTGAGTGCGGCGCTAAACAACAAACTTGACGTCATAAGACTCCGTGCCATACACAGTGAGTTATTTCTCATATTATATTCTATACATGTTATGCTATGGATAACTGTAATCATTATCATATTTAAATAACCTATGCTAGTCAGTATACATTATGACAAAATCATGTGTATGGATGCACGCGTGTCCAAGTCTGTACAGATTTGCGTCCCTTGAACCCGTCAGAAACCTATGATCGTGAGTTGGAATCCCGTTTCTAGGTCTGTCAGCACCATACCCGCGCTCGTGGGTTTCACCAAACATCTAACACCTGCATCACTTCTGGCTTTCCTCCCACATTAAGCTAACACGCCATGACATAGGAATACTGTTAAAAGCGGAGTTAAAACCAAACTCACTCACGTTCATGTTGAGGCATATTAATGGATCGTCAACAGGCGACTACATAGATATTTCAAGGTAACAAGTTAGTAAACACTGGAAGTAACTGTGTGATAATATACGATTGTGATATTTGTTCAGTTCTAACTGTAATGTTCTATGGGTATTTTGCATAACTTAACTGTATTTATTTCCACAAGGCCTTTCGTCTGTCTTCCCAGCTGATGTCATCGGCTCTGATGAAAGTGTCATCTTAAGGACTTCAACCTGCGTTTGCGATTCCTTCAACAAACTACTCTGGTTACTCTACATACTGTCCACCGCTACAAGCAAGCGTGGGGCGGTCGGGTAGCCTCTCGGCCAAAGCGTTCCCTCATCACAGCGAAGACCCGGGTTAAATTCCCCACGTGGGTAGGGGGCACGGGTGGCCCAGTCTTCTAAGGCGCCGCGATTCGCTGTGCAGAGTTGCGTCCCTTGGGCACGCCAGAAACCTATGATTGTGGGTTCGAATCCCGGTCCGCCCCAATTATGTTTCTAGGTTTGTCAGCACAATACCCATGCTCGTATGTTTCACCGAAGTGGTAAACGTCTGAGACCTGCATCACTTCGGGCTTTCCTCCCACATGAAGCTGACACGCCGCGATATAACTGGAATACTGTTAAAAGCGGCGTTAAATCCAACTCACTCACCCCACATGGGTACAATGTGTGAAGCCCATTCTGTTGTCCCCTAGTATGATATTGCTGGAATATTGCTAAGTGGGGTAACCCTAATACCTAACCCTAACCTAACCCTGGGGTAATACTTACTTCAGCAAGACATGCAGCATGGTCAAATCTTACACTGAAACCTTCCAAATGTCATTTCTTTAAAGACAGCTCAGAATATCTTGGTTTCTCAATTTGATGCCGAAGGTCCCCTGGTAGTAAGGGTATTGAAGCAGTCGCGAATTATGGTTGAATCTCACATGCATGATTGCAATGAAAGTCTATTCTCACTGAGACGCAAGTGTAACCCTGACCCAGTGACAGCTCTTTGTCATGCATAAAAAAGAGTAAAAAACAGTTATCTGGGCAGTGTTTATAATCAGAACAGACCATAGGACTGTGACATCAAAATAAGTGCGCAAAATGTTAGAGCTTTCATATAAGTTTGATGTGGAATGGACAACATTTTCCCCCATTAAAGAATCTGCTCAGGATCTTGCCCATTTTGGTGTGATTGGTCCATTACACACTGGTGCTATACTAGAATACAGTGAGTGTAGAGCATGTATGCATCATTATCCACTGACTTTGTGAGACCTGCAAGATGTATGCACTTGAAGTTGGACATATACTGTGTAAGAATAGGTCTTCAACATCACATGCTTGTCGTAAGAGGTGACTTGATTGACTCATGTAAATCACTCAATGGTTCATGTTTCAAGCCTGCTGCACTTCAGAACTTCATGTGCTCAGTTTTACTCTGAAGGCTTTGTCTGGTGTGTTGTCACTACAGGATGTTCTGGGGTGGAGGAATATTGTCACAATTAACATCTTGTGTAGTTGAGCAGAATAAATGTTATGTGCCAGCCTCTCTAGTCTTCATTGTTATTATACTTTGGTTCCCAGTCTTCAGCAACCCATTGCATGGATCGATGCTCATGATATCAATCACTGGATTATCTGGTCCAGACTTTACAGACCGCTGTCATATAGCTGTGTTCGGCTTCTGATGTTGAAAGACCGCAAAAGCAATTTCAAGCTAGCAATAATCAGTGTCTTTTGTGAACATGATCTACTGAGGGTCTTCATCTTGTACTTCAGAGACAATTTGATCTAACAGGCTGACCCACACATTACATACGTCAAATCTCATTTCAGAGAAACACAAAAAATGTCCTGAAGTAGATTGTGTTAACAGCTACCAATTGCTGTGATCGTGACCTTGTTTACATGGGTTGGAAAAGTGTTCTTTCCAAAATAGCCCCCAAAAGACACTGATGATTGCTAGCTTGAAATTGCTTTTGCAGTCTTTCATCGCCTAACTCGGCAATATGGACCACCACATTTGGGATAATATGAAATGCATCAACCGAGTCAGCGAGCCTCACTTTCCGATCCCGGTGTTGGCTTTCAATGTCAATAAGATCATGCATCTATCACCAAAAAAAAATGTTGAGAGAGATGATCAGATCCGAAAGTGCACATTACATTACTGATTATATGAAATTATCAAGCCTGTTCATGGAGTTCGTCTTACATTTGTTGTTGATACACCAAAGTGAGAAAATATTTGGTCAAGATAAGCAAGACCAATGAATATGACCTTTGACCTTGCATAAATGATGCAGGAGATTACTCAAACATCCATGAAACAGCAATATCTAGGTGGAGAATGATGATGACATGCATTTCTGGGAACTGAAAAAGCATGGAAATACCCAAAGTGGCATGTGTCCCTACATTTATTGTCAGAAAAAAGTAGATTCTAAGAGGTGCTGTCCTCATAATGATGCACGATACACAGCATTTCAAGCAGGAATAGCTACAAATTTAATTGCTGTGACCTTGACCGAATATTGAGATTTTCACTGTAATAGTGTTGGTAGGTTAAAAAGAAGCAATTCAGGTTAATTATTTAGTTTTCTCATCCACTACAATTAGGCTTGTATAAACAAAATAGCTTCTGTAAGTTTCTTCACAAAAGTTTGTTTATTAAGCATTGGTACAAATATTTAATAGTGGGTCGTTGTTTAGAAGGTATATATATACTATTGGCAGGGGGGAAAAAAGCAGCAAATTCAGATTTATTTATTTTCCCCCATTTCAAAAAAATATAATTGGTTTATCCATAAAACAAGTTTAAAAAAGTGTGGCCTAATTCAAACACCTTAAAATTCTCCGAGGAGAAATATCAACATAAGTAAACCTCATGAGGGACAGACTACTTGGTATTCTGGGGATGGCCTGGGATTTTATCAAAAACATATATTTTTCAGGAAATGCTTGAAAAATAATAATTATGCTTTAGATTGTTAAAATAGGAAATAGTCTGCCACTGGTTTCACAGCTGTAGCTGAAACATATCTGATCTGATCACAAAATCCCAGAATATCAAATGGTCGGTTCATCATGGGGTCTGCTTTCACAAAACTTGCAGCATCTTTCAACACATCTTCCCGAGGCAAGGGAGTTAACTGACTGTAAAAGTCCACTTTCCTTCCTTGCTGACCTTGGCTCGAATTTTGTGCCATGATCGTATGCCACAATAGGCTGTAACGAGATATGTCCCTTCCACTGGCCAATCAGATTCCACCTGTAGGTGACCAGTTAAGTCGATCTTATCGATAATCAAGACTTACATTGTAATAAACGTGTCTTTTCTCCCAAAATGCATCATATCACTTGTGCAAGTTCATTGAAACATTTGGAAAATATCTGGAAAATATCTGTCGAGGACCAGTTGACAAAATCTGCAAGACAGTCGCCAAGTTGTTTAGGGACCACATGTTCTTTCCGTGATTTGGACTATGCATAGACTCGTTAGGCCAGCCAAAATATACCTCAGACATTCAAGCCCAGTTTGGCAAGGGTGGAAACTGGACTTTTATAGTCAGTTAGCTCCTTTGCTCAGGAGTGAGTGAGTGAGTTTATGCTTTACGTCACATCGGCAATATTTCAGCCATATCGTGACGACTTTGCCTCAGGAAGATGCCTTCAACATGAACACTGATGGAACACCCTGGAGAGGTCACTTGTCTTTTACACAGTGTATCATTCACAGTATTTTGTTTGCACAAAACGTAACAGCAATCCATAATTATCATTAAGCTGTACTTTTCAATGTGGGTTTGTTTGTTTGAAATAATGGTTCATTGTGTAAAATATACGACAATTTCCAAAAATGACCCCTGTTGCATGTTTTAAGTCAACAAAGTTTGGAAACTTTTTTCCTGAACATGCTTAATAGATGAATCTTGTTCTCCGTTGAATAAGTTCAGTGATAAAGACATCTTCGATGTGTCCACCACTTCACATCTACCCCTGGGATGTCAACATTGGTAACCTTTGATTCCTAAAGTAGAATCAATATACTGAAGCTGCTGGATGGGACACCGATCAACCCACTGCACAGCACACTACAAGCTGACAAGCTCTTTCCCAGCATGTGACACCTTCGTTACTCTCTCTGTAATATCGCTGCCACCAGAATCTTGAAATTTGGCCTCTAACCACCAATGTAGTAACGTTAATACTTTTGTTTATGTCTTTGGGAATGCCATCATAGTTCATTTTGAAAAGGTTTACGACTGACCATGTTTTACAGATGAACTTACTTTGTTGTTTGTATAATCAGATTGGTTTGAGATTCTCCATCATATTCTTACAATATCAATTACATGACAGTTTTAATGAAATAGAAAGTCAAATTGACAAACAAACAAAGTAATTTAGCAGGGGTAAGTGTATTCGGCGTCATGACAGTCGTCACTTGTTTGTAAACAAAACAGTCATTTGGTTGCGAGTTCAACTCCAAGCATGGTTGTGGTCATCTACCACAGTGGGGAGTTTTGACTGGTGGCAGCGATGGCATAGAGAGATCCACTAACGGGATATCACTGTGACAGTGTGAGGAGCTTAGACAAGCTGACAGGGAAGGGAGGTAACTCACTCAACTGGTTAAAACAGGAGCAAATTGACGTTCTTTCTGGTCACCACCACCAATAGGGTCAATGAGCATTTTTCAATTTTAAAGCCAAAGAATGTTGATATTGTGCAAATAAACTCATTAGACAGTATCTCTGTATTTTGAATTTTGAACACAACACCCACCGTCAGTATTACATGGAATATTTTCAAGCCAGTCCAATGTTACCAGTCTGATCCCAGGGTATGTGTGAAGCAGAGAAACACACACGGTTTCAAGGATGTGATAATGACTGACATCCATTACTTCTCACTTATAAACTTCTACTTCCCGAGGCCCTCTCCCCAGAGTTCAGGATAGCATCATTTCCAAACTTTGCATCAGGAGCAGACAGCGCCTACACCAGAGTTCCAGCTGGGGCTGGATACTGGATTTGTGGAGTTGATGGAATCAAGGGAAGATGTCTGGGTCGTCAATGGAGAGTGACTTCACAAGAGTGTGAAACTCTTCCTCGGTCCATCTGCTGGTGGAAACTGGAACTGCCGCATGACTGCTGCTGTCTGGGCTGAGGGAGAAAAGAGTCAGTTATAAGCTATGTGATGTGTACCGTCTCAATGGTAGCATAAGGACTTCTGTCCTGTCTGCTAAAAATGTTTGTTTATAACCATAACAATCTTCTGATACAATTAATCATATCAAATTCGTCTTAAAGAATAGTGGTTTTCATTGGTTGTTTATTTCAAGCTGATGAGCAGGAGAAATTTTGGTTTCTTCATAAATGTTTTACTAAACACTTGTTCTGTATGCACAGGTGACAGGAAAGTTGTTTCATGATCAGATATGCTGACATTTATATACTGAGATAAGAAAAGTACCCCGATCCACACTGAAGCCTCCTAATATTACCCCGATCCACAGTGAAGCCTCCCTATATTACCCCGATCCACAGTGAAGCCTCCCTATCTATATTACCCCAATCCACAGTGAAGCCTCCCTATCTATATTACCCCGATCCACAGTGAAGCCTCCCTATATTACCTTGATCCATAGTGAAGCCTCCCTAGAGCACCCTGAACCACAGTGAAGCCTCCCTATATCACCCCAATCCATAGTGAAGCCTCCCTATATTACACCGATCCACAGTGAAGCCTCCCTATATTACCTTGATCCACAGTGAAGCCTCCCTATATTACACCGATCCACAGTGAAGCCTCCCTTTATAACCTTGATACATAGTGAAGCCTCCCTATATTACCCCCGTCCACAGTGAAGCCTCCCCATATTACCCTGATCCACAGTGAAGCCTCCCTATATTACACCGATCCACAGTAAAGCCTCCCTATATTACCCTGATCCACAGTGAAGCCTCCCTATATTACCCCGGTCCACAGTAAAGCCTCCCTATCTATATTACCTTGATCCACAGTGAAGTCTCCGTATATTACCCCGATTCCACAATGAAGCCTCCCTATATTACCCCGATCCAAAGTGAAGCCTCCCTATCTATATTACCCCGATCTACAATGAAGTCTCCCTATATTACCCCCATCCACAGTAAAGCCTCCCTATATTACCTTGATCCACAGTGAAGAATCCCTATATTACACCGATCCACAGTGAAGCCTCCCTTTATAACCTTGATACATAGTGAAGCCTCCATATATTACCCCCGTCCACAGTGAAGCCTCCCCATATTACCCTGATCCACAGTAAAGCCTCCCTATATTACCTTAATCCATAGTGAAGCCTCCCTATATTACCTTGATCCATAGTGAAGCCTCCCTATATTACCTTGATCCATAGTGAAGCCTCCCTATATTACACCGATCCATAGTGAAGCCTCCCTATATTACCTTGATCCATAGTGAAGCCTCCCTATAGCACCCCGGTCCACAGTGAATCCTCCCTATATTACCCCAATCCACAGTGAAGCCTCCCTATATTACACCGATCCACAGTGAAGCCTCCCTATATAACCTTGATACATAGTGTAGCCTCCCTATATTACCCCGGTCCACAGTGAAGCCTCCCTATATTACCCCGGTCCACAGTGAAGCCTCCCTATATTACCCCAATCCACAGTGAAGCCTCCCTATATTACACCGATCCACAGTGAAGCCTCCCTATATAACCTTGATACATAGTGTAGCCTCCCTATATTACCCCGGTCCACAGTGAAGCCTCCCTATATTACCCCGATCCACAGTGAATCATGCTGTAAAGTGTGTGGTGAAGTGCTGGACCTGCTTGTTAAACTCAATTACTTACTCAATACTGACTGGGTCGTTGAAGGTCACCAGGATGTCGGTGGTGTACTGGGGCAGACGGAAGAGGCCCATGTGCACGTTGATCAGGTTCTTAGAAGATTCTTTGAACTTTGAAACTTTCTGTTGTCCAAGGATGTAGTAAATCTTGTCACATCTGCAACAGAGTGATTCAGTGTTGTAGTCCTGCTGGCTCCTTGCATACAAACATGCTTAAGGAAGTCCATTATTCTGTATTTCAAGAACAACTTTGCCAAAGAAAGGTTCTATAAATCTATTTCATTTTAATTGTCTGAATGAAAAAGTGAGTTAGTAAGTATGACTTTTGTACTATTCCAGCAATATCACGTCGGGGTCACCAGTAATAGGCATCACACATTGTACTCATTTTGGGAATCGAACCCAGCATTGCTGTGATGAGTGATTGCTGTAACCACTAGGCTACCCCACTGAAAAAAGAAGCGGGTTGCTGGGCATTCTAATGACCTAGGTTCATTTATAATTGCCAAATTCACACTTTGCTGCTGAGAGAACTAGGGAACTGCGTCCACAGGGTTACATGGTTGCATAAACAGGAAGTTAATTCTGAAATGTTGATTCCCTCCAACAGATTCCTTTGTCAAGCAACTCCAACTCAGCAATGATTCATGAGCTGGTAGTGGGGTCAGTTTTTATATGTCAACTAAGTTTGTCAATTTTTTTTTCATTCAACACATTCTGTACCAAGTTGAAAAATGAATAAAAATGTTACTTGGCCAACATTCTTACTTGCCCTATTTCCAAATGAACTTGCCCAAAATCAAGCTTATAATTCAGTAAAACGTTACTGCTTCAGGAGTGAGTGAGTGAGTGAGTGAGTGAGTGAGTGAAGCTGAATATTGTCAGGGTGGTTCAAAGTTTTTAATCAACTCACTCAAGTACATTTATATATTAGAGTGCAAACTTCATTGTATTTGAACTCCGACTGAACACTTATCACAGTGACTGAGATGCAGTGCTATTTTTAGATGATCCCCTGCTCTGTATTTCAAGTTGCCGTGATGTGCAATATTGATGCTGTGTCGTCTCACTGGTCTGTATGCCTCTGTTATTGTAATAGCAAAACGGACAGTCATAGGCATCTTCACTGTGGTAATCTGTCATTTTGTTTGTCTGTCGGGGATGAAATCTCGAAACATTTTGTTATCTCATCGACGTAGTCATCTACTTTGGTAGTCATCTTTGTGAAGCCATTCGAAACAAGAACACAACGATCTGATTCGATTATTGCATTTTCATCGCAAGGGACACAACATGTGTTCTACATGGGGTGGCCCCACGATCGAGCCAAGAAAAGGTAACAAACTATCATCCCCCTGTAATGATGGATGGATGGATGACAGATGGGGAAATGAGCCATAAACTCACCTGAATTTTCAGTTGTGGTGAGCATAAAATTCAGATTTGCTATTGCATGTGCGTCTGTGACAAAATAACTCACTCTGACATTCTCGTCTGTGGCTTGTCGACCTGCTCTGTGTGCTGCAGTGTGTTGTCCTCGTTGCTGGCTGCACCATTGCTGTCCGCAACATCATCAAAATGGGTTCTGAAACAAAGAAAACATATATCACTCTGAGATTGCTTATACAGATCTGGAAATATAAAAAATTTAAACTAATCATGTTTGTTGTCATTCACTAAAACATTTTGCCACTTGGATCATACAAAGGGACTAATCAAATTATCATGTAAAGCCCCATCTGGTGTCCAGGTAGAACAGGTGCCCTGTACCCCATGCTAGTCTCTGTGGGGAGTCTAGATAAGCAGAGGTCCCCTGTACCCCAAACTTGTCTCTGTGGGGAGTCTAGATAGGAACAGGTCCCCTGTACCCCATGCTTGTCTCTGTGGGGAGTCTAGATACTTGTCTCTGTGGGGAGTCTAGATAAGCACAGGTCCCCTGTACCCCATGCTTGTCTCTGTGGGGAGTCTAGATAAGAACAGGTCCCCTGTACCCCATGCTTGTCTCTGTGGGGAGTCTAGATAAGCACAGGTCCCCTGTACCCCAGGCTTGTCTCTGTGGGGAGTCTAGATAAGAACAGGTCCCCTGTACCCCATGCTTGTCTCTGTGGGGAGTCTAGATAAGAACAGGTCCCCTGTACCCCATGCTTGTCTCTGTGGGGAGTCTAGATAAGCACAGGTGCCCTGTACCCCATGCTTGTCTCTGTGGGGAGTCTAGATAGGAACAGGTCTCCTGTACCCAAAGCTTATCTCTGTGGGGAGTCTAGATAAGAACAGGTCTCCTGTACCCCATGCTTATTTCTGTGGGGAGTCTAGATAAGAACAGGTACCCTGTACCCCAGGCTTGTCTCTGTGGGGAGTCTAGATAAGAACAGGTACCCTGTACCCCATGCTTGTCTCTGTGGGGAGTCCGGTTGAGAAGAGGTGCCCTGTACCCCATGCTTGTCTCTGTAGGGAGTCTAGATAAGAACAGGTCCCCTGTACTCCATGCTTATCTCTGTGGGGAGTCTAGATAAGAACAGGTCCCCTGTACCCCATGCTTGTCTCTGTGGGGAGTCTAGATAAGAACAGGTGCCCTGTACCCCATGCTTGTCTCTGTGGGAAGTCTAGATAAGAACAGGTCTCCTGTACCCCATGCTTGTCTCTGTGGGGAGTCTAGATAAGCACAGGTTCCCTGTACCCCAGGCTTGTCTCTGTGGGGAGTCAGGGTGAGAACAGGTCTCCTGTACCCAAAGCTTATCTCTGTGGGGAGTCTAGATAAAAACAGGTCCCCTGTACCCCATGCTTGTCTCTGTGGGGAGTCTAGATAAGCACAGGTGCCCTGTACCCCATGCTTGTCTCTGTGGGGAGTCTAGATAAGAAAAGGTCTCCTGTACTCAAAGCTTATCTCTGTGGGGAGTCTAGATAAGAACAGGTGCCATGTACCCCATGCTTATTTCTGTTGGGAGTCTAGATAAGAACAGGTGCCCTGTACCCCATGCTTGTCTCTGTGGGGAGTCTAGATAAGCACAGGTGCCCTGTGGCCCCCTGCTTGTCTCTGTGGGGAGTCTAGATAAGAACAGGTCTCCTGTACCCCAAGCTTATCTCTGTGGGGAGTCTAGATAAGAACAGGTCTCCTGTACCCCATGCTTATCTCTGTGGGGAGTCTAGATAAGAACAGGTACCCTGTACCCCATGCTTATCTCTGTGGGGAGTCTAGATAAGAACAGGTGCCCTGTACCCCATGCTTGTCTCTGTGGGGAGTCCGGTTGAGAAGAGGTGCCCTGTACCCCATGCTTGTCTCTGTAGGGAGTCTAGATAAGAACAGGTCCCCTGTACCCCATGCTTGTCTCTGTGGGGAGTCCGGTTGAGAAGAGGTGCCCTGTACCCCATGCTTGTCTCTGTTGGGAGTCTAGATAAGAACAGGTCCCCTGTACCCCATGCTTGTCTCTGTGGGGAGTCTAGATAAGAACAGGTCTCCTGTACCCCATGCTTATCTCTGTGGGGAGTCTAGATAAGAACAGGTCTCCTGTACCCCATGCTTATCTCTGTGGGGAGTCTAGATAAGAACAGGTGCCCTGTACCCCATGCTTGTCTCTGTGGGGAGTCCGGTTGAGAAGAGGTGCCCTGTACCCCATGCTTGTCTCTGTAGGGCGTCTAGATAAGAACAGGTGCCCTGTACCCCATGCTTGTCTCTGTGGGGAGTCCGGTTGTGAAGAGGTGCCCTGTACCCCATGCTTGTCTCTGTAGGGAGTCTAGATAAGAACAGGTGCCCTGTACCCCAGGCTTGTCTCTGTGGGGAGTCTAGATAAGAAAAGGTCTCCTGTACTCAAAGCTTATCTCTGTGGGGAGTCTAGATAAGAACAGGTGCCATGTACCCCATGCTTATTTCTGTTGGGAGTCTAGATAAGAACAGGTGCCCTGTACCCCATGCTTGTCTCTGTGGGGAGTCTAGATAAGCACAGGTGCCCTGTGGCCCCCTGCTTGTCTCTGTGGGGAGTCTAGATAAGAACAGGTCTCCTGTACCCCAAGCTTATCTCTGTGGGGAGTCTAGATAAGAACAGGTCTCCTGTACCCCATGCTTATCTCTGTGGGGAGTCTAGATAAGAACAGGTACCCTGTACCCCATGCTTATCTCTGTGGGGAGTCTAGATAAGAACAGGTGCCCTGTACCCCATGCTTGTCTCTGTGGGGAGTCCGGTTGAGAAGAGGTGCCCTGTACCCCATGCTTGTCTCTGTAGGGAGTCTAGATAAGAACAGGTCCCCTGTACCCCATGCTTGTCTCTGTGGGGAGTCCGGTTGAGAAGAGGTGCCCTGTACCCCATGCTTGTCTCTGTTGGGAGTCTAGATAAGAACAGGTCTCCTGTACCCCATGCTTATCTCTGTGGGGAGTCTAGATAAGAACAGGTCTCCTGTACCCCATGCTTATCTCTGTGGGGAGTCTAGATAAGAACAGGTGCCCTGTACCCCATGCTTGTCTCTGTGGGGAGTCCGGTTGAGAAGAGGTGCCCTGTACCCCATGCTTGTCTCTGTAGGGCGTCTAGATAAGAACAGGTGCCCTGTACCCCATGCTTGTCTCTGTGGGGAGTCCGGTTGTGAAGAGGTGCCCTGTACCCCATGCTTGTCTCTGTAGGGAGTCTAGATAAGAACAGGTGCCCTGTACCCCAGGCTTGTCTCTGTGGGGAGTCTAGATAAGCACAGGTCCCCTGTACTCCATGCTTGTCTCTGTGGGGAGTCTAGATAAGAACAGGTCCCCTGTACCCCATGCTTGTCTCTGTGGGGAGTCTAGATAAGAACAGGTCCCCTGTACTCCATGCTTGTCTCTGTGGGGAGTCTAGATAAGAACAGGTGCCCTGTACCCCAGGCTTGTCTCTGTGGGGAGTCTAGATAAGAACAGGTGCCCTGTACCCCAAGCTTATCTCTGTGGGGAGTCTGGGTCAGACAGGTCCCGGGTTCTCTCACCTCATCACCTCATATTCATTTATTTTGTTCAAACCAGTTTTGTAAGAATGACTCTGGCACCATACCATCATCATAATCATCAGCAAAAATTGCCCTAACCTACAAAACAGTGAGTGAATATCTAGTGTATCACCTTGTGGAATTGTGAAGCAGGTATCTATTGTTCATGGATACCTAGTGTATCACCTTGTGGAATTGTGAATCAGGTATCTATTGTTCATGGATACCTAGTGTGTCACCTTGTGGAATTGTGATTCAGGTATCTATTGTTCATGGATACTTAGTGTGTCACCTTGAGGAATTGTGAATCAGGTATCTATTGTTCATGTTATCGGGCATCAAGTGTACATGTTATCAGGTATCAAGTGTACATGTTATCGGGCATCAAGTGTACATGTTATCGGGTATCAAGTGTACATGTTATTAGGTATCAAGTGTACATGTTATCGGGTATCAAGTGTACATGTTATCGGGTATTAAGTGTACATGTTATCAGGTATGAAGTGTACATGTTATCAGGTATCAAGTGCACATGTTATCGGGTATCAAGTGTACATGTTATCTGGTATGAAGTGTACATGTTATCGGGTATTAAGTGTACATGTTATCCGGTATCAAGTGTACATGTTATCAGGTATCAAGTGTACATGTTATCAGGTATCAAGTGTACATGTTATCAGGTATCAAGTGTACATGTTATCGGGCATCAAGTGTACATGTTATCAGGTATGAAGTGTACATGTTATCGGGTATCAAGTGTACATGTTATCAGGTATCAAGTGTACATGTTATCCGGTATCAAGTGTACATGTTATCCGGGTATTAAGTGTACATGTTATCTGGTATGAAGTGTACATGTTATCGGGTATTAAGTGTACATGTTATCCGGTATCAAGTGTACATGTTATCAGGTATCAAGTGTACATGTTATCAGGTATCAAGTGTACATGTTATCAGGTATCAAGTGTACATGTTATCGGGCATCAAGTGTACATGTTATCAGGTATGAAGTGTACATGTTATCGGGTATCAAGTGTACATGTTATCAGGTATCAAGTGTACATGTTATCGGGCATCAAGTGTACATGTTATCCGGTATCAAGTGTACATGTTATCAGGTATCAAGTGTACATGTTATCCGGGTATTAAGTGTACATGTTATCAGGTATCAAGTGTACATGTTATCCGGGTATCAAGTGTACATGTTATCCGGTATCAAGTGTACATGTTATCAGGTATCAAGTGTACATGTTATCCGGGTATTAAGTGTACATGTTATCAGGTATCAAGTGTACATGTTATCCGGGTATTAAGTGTACATGTTATCAGATATTAAGTGTACATGTTATCGGGCATCAAGTGTACATGTTATCAGATATCAAGTGTACATGTTATCGGGCATCAAGTGTACATGTTATCAGGTATCAAGTGTACATGTTATCCGGGTATTAAGTGTACATGTTATCAGATATTAAGTGTACATGTTATCGGGCATCAAGTGTACATGTTATCGGGCATCAAGTGTACATGTTATCAGATATTAAGTGTACATGTTATCAGGTATCAAGTGTACATGTTATCAGGTATCAAGTGTACATGTTATCCGGGTATTAAGTGTACATGTTATCAGATATTAAGTGTACATGTTATCGGGCATCAAGTGTACATGTTATCGGGCATCAAGTGTACATGTTATCAGGTATCAAGTGTACATGTTATCCGGGTATTAAGTGTACATGTTATCAGATATTAAGTGTACATGTTATCGGGCATCAAGTGTACATGTTATCAGATATCAAGTGTACATGTTATCGGGCATCAAGTGTACATGTTATCAGATATTAAGTGTACATGTTATCGGGCATCAAGTGTACATGTTATCAGATATTAAGTGTACATGTTATCGGGCATCAAGTGTACATGTTATCAGATATCAAGTGTACATGTTATCGGGCATCAAGTGTACATGTTATCTGTATGTCGCTAGTGAGTGAGGTATTATTCCACTTTTAGCAATACCACAACAGAGGACACCAAGAATAAATTTCACCACTGTATCCTTGCGGAGATTGAACCCAGGTTTTCTCCGTGATAAGCCACTCTCTAACCATGAAGCCCCTCCTTCTCACCTGATTGCTTGTTCATCTGGCGCCCCTCCTTCTCACCTGATTGCTTGTTCATCTGGCGCCCCTCCTTCTCACCTGATTGCTTGTTCATCTGGCGCCACTCCTTCTCACCTAATTGCTTGTTCATCAGTCGCTACTCCTTCTCACCTGATTGCTTGTTCATCTGGCGCCACTCCTTCTCACCTGATTGCTTGTTCATCTGGTGCCACTCCTTCTCACCTGATTGCTTGTTCATCTGGCGCCCCTCCTTCTCACCTGATTGCTTGTTCATCTGGCGCCCCTCCTTCTCACCTGATTGCTTGTTCATCTGGCGCCACTCCTTCTCACCTGATTGCTTGTTCATCTGGCGCCACTCCTTCTCACCTGATTGCTTGTTCATCTGGCTCCTCCACGAACTCCAAGATCTCAATGATGAGACTCTGGTCGGTCACAGTGTGGACAAACACCTCTTGGTTGTCTGGAATCTCTCGCAGTTCACTGAAATGTACATATCAACATCAGATCTCCTGACCTGTAATCATTCAAACATTGTTCAAACTTTAAACATGTTAATCAGGGTTTAATGTTTTGACTGGAATGAAGGGTTTGTGTGAAACTATTGACAATTTAGTACCAAGTGGTGCTGTTGCCCCCCCTGAAAGTTTCGGGTGCATTTGCAACATAAGATTATAATGATCATAATAACACTGTAAAACAAAAATGGTCTAAAATTACATTGGAAGAAGTTTGGCTTCTACAAAACAACATGACTATTTCACGATAGTAAAGTAGGTAAAATGCAATATGAAGGACCCGTGAAGATCCGGGGTTGAATAGGTCTTCAGCAACCCATGCTTGCCTTAAAAGGCGACTATGCTTGTTGTAAAAGGCGACTAACGGGATCAGGTGGTCAGATTCGCTGACTTGGTTGATGCATGTCATCAATCCCAATGGTGTGGATCGATGCTCATGATGTCAATCACTGGACTGTCTGGTCCAGACTCGATTATTTACAGACCGCCGTCATATAGCTGGAATATTGCTGAGGGCGGCGTAAAACAACAAACCAACCAACCAAAATGAGGCACAGACAGTAGACCATGACTATAATGAACATGTGACATAACATCCTAATGGTCATATCACAAGTCACGGCTGCCTTTCTGTATTGTCATATAAAATTCATGCAAATGAGTGATTGAGTTAAAAATTGTAAGTCACATCGGCAATATTTCAGCCATATCGTGACTATCAAAGGTTAAACATATAAATACATTGGGACTTACATAAAAACCTGCCAACGAGGGACAGTAAAATATCTAGACTTATCACAGAAATACCGGACACCCCCACAGAAATATCTAAAACTTGTATGTAATCATAAAATCAATAGCACTATACATAACATTACATTATAAAAACGGGCTTTAGACCGCCAGCATCATGTAAATGACAAATTCTGTACAACAATTTAACAGCTACAGCAAACTGAATTTTCACCTTAAACTTAATCAGTGTCAGTCACCATCAGCAGTGAATTAAATAGTGTATATGTAAGATGTCCAAACATAACGACAGTACACGTACAGATCAGTTAACCTCAGTAGGTATTGGTTCAGCTGTGAATCCTACACACGCCAGTCGGCAGCTCATCAACATGAGTCCAATGTTGAAACAATTAAATATTTTCAAAAAAAAGTTAATCTCAATAAAATCTATGGTATATTGAATAAAAAACATACAATGGATGTTCGGTAAGAAACACTGCACTGTACCCTCATGACTAATCTTACCTGACATCTTTGACACCAGCAGGCAAAACAGCAGACAGACATCCTCCGAAGAGCTTCCGAACATTTGACGTGGTGTCCATTGCGACTGCATCCATGGTTTCGTCTCAACTGGACAATATTGCATTAACTTTGTAGTTAAAGGATTTTTGAATTCAGTTGTGAACACATGGCAAACAATCTCTCACTGAATCCTGAATCCCAATTCTTTCTTCAAGTTAACTGCATATTTTAGTATCGTGTCATAAAGTAATGAATGAATGCTGTTCGATAAAAGTAAGAACAGCAAAGCTGTTTGCCTATTGCTGATGCTGTGTACATGTCGTTGGGTGTGATTTCGTTTGTCTGCCATTCCGTTTCGGTTCGACAGTTGTATGCACCCGGTTCCTACCTTTTTATGGAACCACATGCTGTCCGTGTGCTGCCATGCCTTGCCTATGACTATGATGATGAATAAACTGCCATTAAATGGTCTGAATAACTGCTGAGGACTTCTCCGTCTACTTTTCACATCATAATCCAGGGTTCCCGCTGGCTTTTGAAACTGAGTCTTTATGGACTGGCAACTCTAAAAATTACCAGTCCCCCCAAATTTTAGCCAGTCCCAACTTTCAATAAATAAAAAAACATATAAAAATTATTTGGTCTTTATTCTTTCAGCATCATGTTCAGTGCAAAGATGTCATCTCTCAAATAACTTAGTTAGATCTATACGTCATTCACACAAACTTCAGTCATTATTTTCTCTTCTTTCTTTTAATATTTCGAGACAAAGTCGCTACAAATGGATACTTAACCTAGAAATAGACAAGGGAAACCCTGATGGTAACAGACTAGCTGATTTTTTTCGCAGGGACTGGCAGTCACATGAATTACCAGTCTAAGTCTAGCATAAAAACAGTAATTACCGGTAAACGGTAACGCTGTAATCAGCATCTACATCATTCTAAACAGACATGTGCTGGTAATCTTTGGCCATGGATGTAACCAGGATGACGAGGGATCAACTATTATTATGGATTTAGATAAGGGATGGTGGTGATTTACAGGAGGGCACTTGCTTGGTCATTTTGTACAAATAATCCAAAGGGCTACACTTCTTTCTTCATCATGTCTTACATTTTACCTTCTAGTAAAACAAACAGGTTGACTGGAACCATTTTGGAACCAACTGGACACAAGCTGCCACAAGGTAACAAATTACTACTGAAACCATCAGCTCTGGACAATCGTTTGCCCTCCCGTAGAGTGGAAGGTTCGATCCCCAGCTGAGTCATACCAAAAGACATTAGATGGTATTTCTTGTTAGAGTCAATACCCTGCCTAGCACTCGGCATAACATGATTAAAGGGGTAAAACAAGGACTGGTCGGATCATTCACTCATTCATTCCGTGTTTGAGTGGGGTATTCATGTTAAACTGTGTCATGTAGCTCAGCGGACTAGCACTGCAAATCAGGCATCAGCCCAGACTGGTACAAGCAGCCACACTCACACACCCCATTTGTCCTCACTTCTGCACATTTGCACTAATGTCAACGGCCATTAGCACGACCAGCTCTCAAGATACTGTCGGGTATCCTGAAACCCACAGTTGTCACACCCCAACAGGGGCAGGTTTTTCAGCTGTACACATAAATATGAAAATACAAAAGGAAATACAGACAAGACAATTCCATGACGGACCTAAATATTATAATTTAAGTCCATAATTCCGTTCACAAACTAACTTCCGCCATGTGCAGACCGTGCGCCAAGATGTTCCTGTCCCGGCCTACAAGCACATGTCATTGTCAACAGATTCTCCAATGTGAGACGAAATTTAACTAACATGAGTAAAAGTCAATACCTTACCCGTGAAAACTATACTCAGTTCTGTGCAACTTGGCGAACTTTGCAGCTGAAATTTAAAAGAAACAAACATGACAAAATTTCCCATTTTTTCGGTGATGTCAACATGGTCATTCATTCTTGAAATACAAAACATTTTCCACATAATTGTGAATCAAATTGAGAAAGCAAGCATTTATTAATTGAATAACAAGAAATAATACCATTCAGTATCAACGACCCAGTCGCAAATTGTGAGCAATATGCTTGTTCTTGGTGGAATTATCTGGTTTCATCCAGTATATATGTCATGACATCATGTGTTGTGAAATCGAAAAGGGCGCCGCCATGTTGCAAGTTCCGCGAGCTCCACACAGTGACAAAACAACAACACTGTTGTGAGATTTGATTAATGAACCGCTCGTAAAATCAGTGTGGTGGCTGAATTATATTTTGTCGCGGAATATGTAATCGTGTCCAAAACGTAGCTGTAAGGAGTTTACAAATGGATGCATCCTTCGTAAAACGAGTAAGTCGGTGTGAGCTTTCAGTGAGTATGGTTTTACGCCGCTTTTAGCAATATTCCAGCAATATCACGGCGGGGGACACCAGAAATGGGCTTCACACATTGTACCCATGTCGGGAATCGAACCCGGGTCTTCGGCGTGACGAGCATACGCTTTAACCACTAGGCTACCCGACCGCCCCCTGGTAAAACAGACAAATCGACCATCAAACTGATAATTGTCATGTTAGTTCCGATGTTTCACCAAATGATTCGGACCTTTCTTGATGCCTTGCCGTATTGGAGGTGACGGACGTCCGTTCTTACGGAAAAGGTCTTACAAAAAGAATGACACCCATGAGTGCACGTGTAATATCTCAATTGTTTTGGTCCAAACCAAACTGATTACTTCGTGAGTGGAACAACCCTGTTTCTGTCTGACTTGGTAGGAATCCTTTAGGGTCAAGGAACCTATTTTGTCCCGACATTGCTAATAAATTAGATACTCATGATGTCAGTCACTGGATTGTCTGGTCTAGACTCGATTATTTACAGATCGCCGTCATATAGCTGGAATATTGCTGAATGCGGCGTTAAACAACAAACAAACAAATAATTAATTAGACCCATTTTAAACGCCCGAAAACAAACATCTTCCGTGGGATATACATATTAATATTTTTTTAATCTTCAGGAGAAATATTGCTATTCATTTAAAACAAGAAATACATACACGTATATAAGACTGCCTAACATATAGATATTTGGAGGTTATTATGTCAGTTTTCATATCATACCACATTATCAACCCTCGACCTATGACAGCCCTCTAGGCCTGATAGTAATAACGTTTCTATCACATACCATAACATCACTGTACCCCTCCATAAAACATTCATAAATTTACGTCGTTGTGGGTTTCACGTATCGTATTCTTGTTTTTCATTTTGTTCACAAAACAATCCGTGTCCGCAGTTTTGTCCAAGATAGCTTCTAGCTCCATAATTCTATTTGCATGTGAATGCAATACATTTTCAACTTGTTTGGAAGACATTGTCACAGGAAAGCAAGACGAGCAGACGACGGACCAAGGGACGTAACTCCAATTTCTTACCACCCGGGCTGATATCGACCGCCCGTATTGAGCCATGTCAGCCCGGTGGAGGAGGCCCAACTTAATGCCCTGCTTAAATCACTCTAAGGTGATTTGGGCCTAGTCTGAGATCACTATAGGATGACTTGGGCCAAGGCTGAGATCACTCCAGGTGAGGGCCGAGGCTGAGATCACTCCCCCGAGAAGCAGAACACTCCACACTCATATGCTCAAATGACTCTCTGGGCTCCAATCACTCCCCCAACTATTTATACAACATTTCCTGCACACCTCCCTACTGTACACACACACTATTGTATGGACAATTGAACAATCAGCTACTCCCTTTCAGGTGAGAAGAAAGTCACATGAACATCTGAAACATTTAGTATGCCAAAACTGAACAGAAGTAGAATATTTTAACAAATGTAGGGGATTTATTTGAGCCCAATAGGGAGTGATCTGCATGAGCCTTGAGTGAGTGTTTTGGGCCAAGACGCAATTCACTCGAGAAAGAATTATTGAGGGATTGATTTTAGGCTGCTTAACCGGTGTAGTAGGACCAGGTCACTCCCCAGGATCTAATCAGTCCCATTATGATTATAACAGTCTAACTTTGTAGGGTGAAAACACACCCCTTATACTTTCTGTATTCTGAATTGGCGATTAGCAGCGCCCCTGCCCTAATTAATTATGAATCGAAATAAAAAATGGATATACATATAAATTTTAAATTTGTAAAATCCAAACTCGTTTTCCAACTCTCCCAAAGTTTCTAATGTTTTATATACCGCTCTTCGTCTTAACTAGTATAATCTTAAGTATATATATTTATACTATCAAAATTGAGTGTAATACCAGTTACGCACTACTGCTTAAACAATTGAAAGATGAGTATAAAGAGCCCCAACTCCGTCTTGTCAGAGGCAGTCGGGTAGCCTTGTGGTTAAAGCGTTCGCTCGTCACGCCGAAGACCCGGGTTCGATTCCCGACATGGGTAAAGTGTGTGAAGCCCATTTCTGGTGTCCCCCGCCGTGATATTGCTTGAATATTGCTAAAAGCGGCGTAAAACCATACTCACTCACTGTCTTGTCAATATCTTAATATGATCAGTGAAAGTTATTATAAATGTGTTTAATCCACATGCAAGTATATATGGCATCAATCACAAACTCCAATATGTCAAAATGCATTTCTGTAATTTCGAATGATTGACTGAGTTATTTATGCAATGTTTCACCTCTTCGCTAGAAGCATATCAGCCCAGGTATATCATGTTAAGAATAAATTGGTTGACTTTTCATTTCTGTACCAGCATGTCAATATTAGATACACAAATATCCGGGTAGAATAGGCCTTCAGCAACCCATGCTTGTCGTAAAAGGCTTCTGTGCTTGTAAGAGGCGACACACGAGATCGGGTGGTCAGGCTCGCTGACTGGGTTGATGCATGTCATCGTTTCCCAATTGCGTGGATTGATGCTCATGATATCAATCACTGGGTAGTCTGGTCCAGACTCGATTGTGTACAGACCGTCGTCTAGCAAGAATATTGCTGAATGCGGCGTCAAACAACAAACAACAAACAAACAAAGATTCACCAAATTAATAAAACTGTAATCAAATCAACCAAATCCAAAGTTCTTAGCACAAATATATCTGCTCAGCTCAGAACAATTTGCCCGTGGGTACCTTTACTGGGGTGTAGGACATTACACCACACGGACATTACCACACACGGACATTACCCCACATTAACATTACCCCACATCGACATTACCCCACACGGACATTTCCCCACACGGACATTACCCCACACGGACATTACCCTACATTGACATTACCCCACACGGACATTACCCCACACGGACATTACCCCACACGGACATTACCCCACACAGACATTACCCCACACGGACATTTCCCCACACGGACATTACCCCACATGGACATTACCCCACATGGACATTACCCTACATGGACATTACCCCACACGGACATTACCCTACATGGACATTACCCCACACGGACATTACCCCACACGGACATTTCCCCACACGGACATTACCCCACATGGACATTTCCCCACACGGACATTACCCCACATGGACATTTCCCCACATGGACATTTCCCCACACGGACATTACCCCACATGGACATTACCCCACACGGACATTACCCTACATGGACATTACCCTACATGGACATTACCCCACACGGACATTTCCCCACACGGACATTTCCCCACACGGACATTACCCCACATTGACATTACCCAACACGGACATTACCCCACACGGACATTTCCCCACACGGACATTACCCCACATGGACATTACCCCACATGGACATTTCCCCACACGGACATTACCCCCCATGGACATTACTCCACATGGAAATTTCCCCACACGGACATTTCCCCACACGGACATTTCCCCACACGGAAATTACCCCACATTAACATTACCCCACTTGGACATTACCCCACATGGACATTTCCCCACACGGACATTACCCCACATGGACATTTCCCCACACGGACATTACCCCACATGGACATTACCCTACATGGACATTTCCCCACACGGACATTTCCCCACACGGACATTACTCCACATGGACATTACCCCACATGGACATTACCCCACACGGACATTACCCCACACGGACATTACCCCACACGGACATTACCCCACACGGACATTACCCGACACGGACATTACCCTACATGGACATTTCCCCACATGGACATTACCCCACACGGACATTACCCCACACGGACATTACCCCACACGGACATTACCCCACACGGACATTTCTCCACATGGACAAAACCCCACATGGACATTTCCCCACACGGACATTACCCCACACGGACATTTCCCCACATGGAAATTTCCCCACACAGACATTTCCCCACACGGACATTACCCCACATGGACATTACCCCACATGGACATTACCCCACACGGACATTACCCCACACGGACATTACCCCACACGGACCCCACACGGACATTACCCCACACGGACATTACCCTACATGGACATTTCCCCACATGGACATTACCCCACACGGACATTACCCTACATGGACATTTCCCCACATGGACATTACCCCACACGGACATTACCCCACACGGACATTACCCCACACGGACATTACCCCACACGGACATTACCCAAAACGGACATTACCCCACACGGACATTTCTCCACATGGACAAAACCCCACATGGACATTTCCCCACACGGACATTACCCCACACGGACATTTCCCCACATGGAAATTTCCCCACACAGACATTTCCCCACACGGACATTACCCCACATGGACATTACCCCACATGGACATTACCCCACACGGACATTACCCCACACGGACATTACCCCACACGGACCCCACACGGACATTACCCCACACGGACATTACCCTACATGGACATTTCCCCACATGGACATTACCCCACACGGACATTACCCCACACGGACATTACCCCACACGGACATTACCCCACACGGACATTTCTCCACATGGACAAAACCCCACATGGACATTTCCCCACACGGACATTACCCCACATGGACATTACCCCACATGGACATAACCCCACGCGGACATTACCCCACACGGACATTGCCCCACATGGACATTACCCCACACGGACATTACCCTACATTGACGTTTCTCCACATGGACATTTCCCTACATGGACATTTCTCCACATGGACATTACCCCACATAGACATTACCCCACATGGACATTACCCCACACGGACATTTCCCCACACGGACATTTCCCCACATGGACATTACCCCACATGGACATTACCAAACATGGACATTACCCAACACGGACATTACCCCACATGGACATTTCCCCACACGGACATTTCCCCACACGGACATTACCCCACATGGACATTACCCCACATGGACATTTCCCCACACGGACATTACCCCCCATGGACATTACCCCACATGGAAATTTCCCCACACGGACATTTCCCCACACGGACATTTCCCCACACGGAAATTACCCCACATTAACATTACCCCACTTGGACATTACCCCACATGGACATTTCCCCACATGGACAATACCCCACACGGACAAAACCCTACATGGACAAAACCCCACATGGACATTTCCCCACATGGACATTTCCCCACATGGACAATACCCCACATGGACATTTCCCCACATGGACATTTCCCCACAGGGACAATACCCCACATGGACAATACCCAACATGGACATTTCCCCACATGGACATTTCCCCACATGGACAATACTCCACATGGACAATACCCCACATGGACATTTCCCCACATTGACAAAACCCCACCCGGACAATACCTTACGTGGACAATACCCCACACGGACATTTCCCCACATGGACAATACCCTACATGGACAATAACCCACACGGACAATACCCCACATGGACATTTCCCCACATGGACAATACCCTACATGGACAATACCCCACACGGACATTTCCCCACATGGACAATACCCTACATGGACAATAACCCACACGGACAATACCCCACACGGACATTTCCCCACACGGACATTTCCCCACACGGACATTTCCCCACATGGACAATACCCCACATGGACATTTCCCCACATGGACATTTCCCCACACGGACATTTCCCCACATGGACAATACCCCACACGGACAATACCCCACACGGACAATACCCCACATGGACATTTCGCCACATGGAAAATACCCTACATGGACAATACCCTACATGGACATTTCCCCGCATGGACAATACCCTGAATGGACAATACCCCACATGGACATTTCCCCACACGGACAATACCCCACACGGACAATACCCCACGCATTATATTGAATTGTATATTAATAACAAAACATGATATGTGTTTTTTTTCTATTTTCAGCATTTGTGTTTCTTTAATCAGTCTCTCAAATGTTCACGTAATTTGAGGAGCGTGAAAATAGCCGGCTACCTCAAGCCGCCATCTTGTCTCGCTACCGATGAACCAGAAAATCCAGTGACACGTAGTGCATTTACTGATTTTGTTGAAACTAATTAAAACGACATGTTAATGTTTAAATACGTGTGCTGTGTTCAAGTGGAGAGATTCTGCTGCTTGTAAGGAAAGAAAAAGAGGCTGCAATACGGAAACACTTCCCTGGACATGTTAAGTGGTAGATTACATCCATCTAAATATTCCTATATTTGGTGTTTAATCGCATCCTTCTCGTTCGAACGTCTGACGTCGTCTACTACATGTATTACCGGATGTGACGTCACTTTGTAACCATAATCTTGTTGCAAATCAGTTGCAGAACTAACAGACTCAACGAAAGTTGTGGTTTTCGGTCCTGCGAATTTATAGAAATTTTATAATGATTCTATCGACTTTTATTACAGCTCTTTGATAATAATTACATTGCAGCAATATTGCCTCTGCCTTTGTGCTTCGTATTTATTCTTTTAAGCTGATAAATTAAACAAAATATAAATTGTAGAAATTAATAATCTGTCAAAAAAACCAACAACGTTAATTTTGTATACGTCTCGCAGTTAGCTCAATATAATTAAAGTGTAATTGTCATCAAATAAATAATAAGCAAATATTTCAGTTGACTTTTATTATTTGTTTGGGTTTTCGCTTCAAAACTGACGGTCAGCATGGGACATCAAACCTCCTGATAACCACGTCCCCAGTCCTCCAACCCGTTACACTGCCCTCAGTTGGTAACAGAGGGGTGAAGATATATCGCTGTAGCAGCGGCAGCCGCAGTCAACGCCATGACAAGCCTGGGAATCAGTCCGCTTATGTTGAAGATCTGGGACGGTCTCTCCACGCCTCGGGTCACTTTGGTTGGTAGAGGTATTATTTTGTAGAACCTTTACTTTGTGGGCTCCTGCAGTTAATGATCCTATATTTGCTAGTATTCTATGCATAAATAGCTGCATTGCAAGGTGGTAGTTAATGGCGCGTCTCTTAGTTATTTAGGCACTGAAAGTACGTGACAGTCCATTCATTTAAAGTCGGTGGCAAATTTAATATAACAATGAAGTAACGCTAAATTGGGAGTAAACTTTGATCGTAACCTCTTGTTAAGTACACCCCATGAACTAGTACTCTGTATGATCACAAGTACGTAGCTGAATAGACACCGAGTTCCCATTTGGCTTCAGGCATTGAGGTTAACCGGGTGCTTAGAACTGCTGAAAATGTCCTCACAGTCATGGCTGATGAAAACAGTGTTTCATGACAGAGCCATCTTCTCGAGGCAAGGGAGTTAACTGACTATAAAAGTCCAGATTCCGCCCTTGCCTAACTATTCTGGAATTCCGGAGTTACATTTTGGCTGAACTAACGAGTCTATGCATAGATCAATCAAAATCGCGAAACGAACTAGAAACCCGGTTCGTAAACAACATTGATTTCATGTGCAGATTTCGGTCGACTCCGTGACTTGCAAAACATGTGTGCGATCAAAGACGTATATACGTCCGTGGTGCGATCAAATGCGCGTCGACAGATATTTTTGAAATCTTTTCATGTTATTAATTAAAAACGTAAGCCGTCAAGGGTGGAAAATGAAATTTATAGTCAGTTAACCCCCTTGCCTTGGGAAGACAGTGGGCACTACAACAGAGTGTGCTGTCGGAAAGACTTATCGTCTCCTCTTCTTTAGCCTAGTTGTAATCCCCCTAACAATTCTGACTCTGCCAATTTCGCGATACTACCATGGACAACCAGCAGTTCCCTGTAAAGGTAATTCCGCCATACATTCTGTTTTTAATATTATCCACATGAACGCGAACCTTTTAGTGGACTTGAACGAACTCCCACCTAAGTACGGGAAAACAAAAAAAACACAAACAATGTCAAGCAGATCTTTGTGTTCGTCAGAGGAGGTGAGGTGAAATTGGGTAATTGTGAAAACGTTGAAATGTGTGTTTGCGGACTAATGACGGGTTTAAAGCCCACTGAGATACCATCTAACACTCAGACACAGTATATTCCGAGTCGACCAATCCTTGTTTTTTGTCCTTAATGCTGAACGCCAGCCAGGGTAACAACAAATGAGTGAGTGAGTGAGGATGGTTTTACGCCGCTATTCCTTCCTTCGGGAAACATAAAAAAATGGGCTTCACACATAGTACCCATGTGGGGAATCGAACCCGGGTCTTCAGCTTGACGAGCGAACGCTTTAACCACCAGGCTACCCACCGCCCGATAACAACAAGTACCATCTTTTAACGTATGTTGGTATGATGCAGCCGGAGAACGAACCACAGACCTTCCGCTCTCCGGGCAGACACTCCTTCCACTAGACCACGGAGTCGGTGATTGTGCTCTTCAGAACACTTCACGATACAATTTGGTTTCTGGCTTGGCATTCTTTTTATTTGTAATTTGCATAAGATATGTCAGTTGAGGGGAACAGACCAACTGTGATGGGTCATCCCACATTCATCGTTCATCCTGAACTGGCATACATTCGTTCAGCGAAATAGATTACTAAAACGACAATATCGTTAAATCATTTCAGGATTTGATAATAAAACTACAAAATCAATATTGCTTGAAGTTCAGTTTGTTTGTTTGTTTGTTGTTTAACGCCGCACTCAGCAATATTCCAGCTATAAGACGGCGGTCTGTAAATAATCGAGTCTGGACCAGACAATCCAGTGATTGACATCATGAGCATCGATCCACGCAATTAGGATACGATGACAGGCATCAACCAAGTCAGCGAGCCTGACCACCCGATCCCGTTAGTCGTCTCTTACGACAAGCATAGTCGCCTTTTAAGGCAAGCATGGGTTGCTGAAGACCTATTCTACCCCGGATCTTCACGAGTCTCAGTTTGTTGACCTCTTGCAATTACCATATTGCAATTACAGCTTAAATAAAATGGTTTTCTTGAACGAATACGAACGAATGAATGTTGCGAAAGTAGTTTGTCAGGATTCACAATCAGTCAAACACATTCCGAAAATAACTAAAACGTGATATCAGAATTATATGCACCAATATCTTTAACCCCTGGCGCAATAAACCTTTTATAAAACTTACACCCTCATTTGTCAGCTCTTACCACAGGGCTCTGCATCTCCCCGAGGCAAGGGAGTTAACTGACTATAAATGTCCAGTTTCCGGTTCCGGTTCGTAAACTGCCGTGCAGATTTCAGGCGATTGCAGCATTTACAAAGTATGTGTTCCGAAAACTAAGCGTTAACATATATTTTCGAAATCTTTTCATGTGTTTAATCAAGGTGCTCACGTACGTGATTTGATGCACATCGCGAAGTAAGATCCGTTTTATTACAATATATATCTTGAATATCGATCAGATCGCCATTTTATTTGTGGCAAAATGCAAGTACAGTCAAGACCCATTAGTGTCGGATAAAGCCGATTGTCGGATTAACGAGTGTCGGATTAACGAGACTTGACTGTAATATAAGAGGTGGAATCTGATTGGTCAATAGGAGGGACATAGAAGGGACATGTTATAAGTTTTTCGTTTAGTAACCTCTGTTAGACAGACATATATTTATTTGATTCGCACTCGAACACGGAAAATAAATACATGATAAATATACATACAATTTCGAGTAAACGCATCTTGCACAAAAAAGCATCAATCATTCCAATTTGAACAAAGTGTTTTAAATGAACTTAACCCGGGGGCTAAAGAAAATATTCACTTGAAAGTTGGACTTGACCACTACATTACAAACGTTATCAAAACGTTACTCGGCGCCGAAACGCTGCAAACTTAATGATTAATGTATTAATTCAGCACCATTGAATAAACCTCGTCTCTATATAGCTGAATAAATGCCGAGGCGACGTCAAATTTTAACTCACTAACTATTGAATAACCTGGAATGACTGACTGACACAGTATAATGTGGCAGGGTTGATTTTGGCACCCAAGACTGTTAGGACTGGATAAAACAACATGTATTTCGGAATATCGCGTATGTTAATATAATGGTCATGAAAATCAACACCTCTTTCAAATATGATATACCCTACACAAAAGCCTGTCAAACGTCGCTAGGATTGTGACATGTGCCTTCGTGTAACCAGTGGACATTATCATAATAGTATTGGTAATATTTCTCCACATTATGAAGCTTCACACAAATGTCACAGAAGGCAGATTCATATGTGGCTACTAACTTGGAATGTGTATACCTGGATTTCTCTTCCAGTATCTCAGCATAAGCCGTCACGTTTGTTTCCAGATATTTAAGATATTTCGCCAGTTCTTTTGGACTGGAAAAGTCCGCTGCATTAATGTACGTTCCTTTTGGTATCAGGGAATTATAATCAGCACCTCCGCGAACCACAGGGACAATGGTGTGAGAATAGGTTTTATACAACTTTTCAGAGATGTAGTCAATGCACAAAGAATTTTCAAACGCGAAGTAAAATCTATATTCATTGAAAAATGACTGTTGGCAATCGCTACCATAAGTACACTGCGAGGGACCACATTTCCCATATATGTCCACTGGTATATGCTTGCGTAATTCGGTGACGTAGTCTTCGCGCCTGGAGGGAGTCTTGCAGTTACTTACAAACCAGAGAGCCGACTTAGTTTTTTTCAAAGCGATTTTTGTGAAATTAACTGATTTTTGTGGTGCCTTGCGTAAAAGAACATTGTAAGGCAAGGCAACGTCAGAGTCAAGTCGGTAAGTCATGGTCCAGTTGAACATACGGCGCCATCGACTGGATTGGTAGAACTGACTTTCAAAATATTTGGGACACTCCAAGCCAAACATGATCCACACATGGTTAGCTTGTTTGGCAGGTGGAATGTTGTCTGAAAGTTGCACTACATCGATGATGACAGCATCTGCTTTTGCAATCTGCGTGGGATCGTATGAACATTGGCAGCCTTTCTGTGGACACTTTTGTAAACCTTGTGGACAAACATCCTTGAAATCCTTGTGCTGAAACCATTCTGGCGCGTTATAAAACAGTATCATCTTTGATTGGTTTCCCTGTGTCGTCTGGTGTCCATTTCCGAAATTCACATTAAAGGAAACTCTTTGTCTGTACTTTTCGGTGGAGTGAAATGAAATTGGTTTATAAAAATATGGAAATGTCTTTGAAGCACTGACAACCAATTTGTAGTAAGGGCCGGTGATATCATTGACGTCATTGTCTGCTCTGAGCGATGCTAGGTCTGTATCCGACAGACTGTCGATTGTGTAGTTCACAACGGCAGCTTGAAGCGGCATCAGCCACACTGGTTCCTGCTCTGACACACTGCAGTACAGAACAACCATTCCCGACAATAATATACCACTCACAACGAATGTGATGCGCTGTAATCGTTGCATCGTCGGAACCTAAAAAGGAGAACGTGAGTGAGTGAGTGAGTGAGTTAATGCTTTACGTCACATCGGCAATTAAGAAGGGAACGAAAATGTATCTGTAACGCCACAAATATATGAGTACCCTCCACAATCAAACGATCAAATGGGGGTGATAATGAACCCTTGGTTTCGGCATTCGATGTTACCACTAAGACGATAGTAACTGGTAACCTTGACATTGCCTGGCATATCAAATAAAACATCACAGTCATGTACAGAGCAGAGGAAATTACTCATGGCAAAAGACCCGGGTTAGAATAGGTCTTCAGCAACACTGCCACCGTCACTCATGCTTGTTGTAAGAGGCGACTAACTGACATCGTTGATGCATGTCATCGTGTTCCAATTGCGTTGATCGATGCTCATGATATCAATCACTGGATTGTCTGGTCCAGACTCGATTATTTACAGACCACCGTCATATAGCTGGAATATTGCTGAGTGCGGCGTTAAACAACAAACAAACAAACAAACTAATGGCAACCATCGACGTTAAACGCCTTTTACAACCATCTAATGGTAATTGGTCAGAGGCCAGTCGCATATATTATCGGTATACAACACGTGTAGAGAATCTCACCAGAGTGTCTTCTGATAACTTGGCGAGGAGATTTAAACACCGACGACTGTTGATATTTTTTATACGTTTTCAGTTTGTAAACAGAAATGACCAATGTCATGAGTGTACAGCTTGTCTCCTTGTAAGATTGTGAACAGCGTAGCTTGTGTTCATGAATATCTGGTGGAAGTAATATTCTTTCGGTGGAACCGTTAAAAAAAACAAAGCGATTTCCTTCCGATTGTGAGGTAATACAATGAAATTTAATCGTGTTTCGTGTACATCGGTAGTAACCGAAAGGACAATGGCGATGAAATAGCCGACACGGGTAAAGTGGGAAGATTTAAAAGCAGGAGCATGTAGAGTGGAAACGAACAAGTACATGCACGAAGTCTTTAATTGTGACGTAGATCAATACAAAGCAACTACGTGACGCGGTGTAGACGGCGTTTCTATGTGCGGAGACGGGGTCAAGTTGCAACCGAATCGAAAAGAGGTCGGTGTTACCAATATCCAGCCATACATTGCCGGTGTCACGAAATATATTCGCCCCCAGAATAAAGTCTCCCCCCGGCGAATTTATACCGGTACAGTTCCGCCCCTCTCGAAATAAACTCTCCCCCACCCTACGAAATAAAGTCTCCCCCCAGAATATTTCCTCCCCCGGTCGTTTTATAAATACTTGCCATGCAGTTCAATAGTTGATGTTATTTTGGGTTAGGTAATGTTGTAATCTATTTTTAGCCATTGATTCCATTACTTTGCATAAGTTTGAAGTTGAGATTTTGGTCGATATGAGTTAGCTTGATTAGCTGGTTTATTAGGTTTAGGGATTGGTATGACTAGGGCCTGTTTCCAGGGAGTAGGATATAGTTTTAGGTGGTTTTTTTTAATTATTTGTTCAGAAGTTTGGTCTAATCCTGGGGCTGTGCCCTTTTTCCTGTTTTGGATTACGTAGAGGAGCTCCTCCATTGTGTAGGGTTGGTTTATTTCTAGATTGTTATTGTTTGGTTCTTTTGTGGGTTTGTTTTTTGTTTTAAGTTTATCTTGGAATTTTTGGCTGAAGTTGGTGCTACTGCTAACGGCCGAAAAGTGGTTGGCGAGATTATTTGCTTTTTGGGCGGGGTTGGTTGAGTTGTTAATGTTAGTTTTTTATGTCGTTTTAAGCCTCTAATGGCGTGGATTTTGCGCCAGACCGTTCTGGCATCTGTACGGTTATTTATACATTCGCAGAATTTTTTCCAGTCTCTACTTTTGGCTATTTGGACTAGTTTCTGAACCTGGTGGTTTAGTTCGTGGGCTAAGTTTAGATGTGTGTAGTCGCGTTTTGCTTTATTGAAGGCTGATTTACGTTTTCGTCTAGTCTGTTCTATTTCCTCATTCCACCATGGTACCGTGGGTTTGCCTGATGTTTTGAAGGGGATGGAGGTTTTGGCTGCCTTTATTATATATTAGTCTGTAAGGTTTTAACAATAGGTTTCTGGGTCATTATTTTCTATTTCGTTCAAGTTAGCTTCATTGCAGATATCTTGGGATTGGTCCCAGTTAGCTTATTGTAATAGAATTTTGGTTCTTGGTTTTCTGTTTGGATTGGTACGTTTGTATTTACTATGGTTATGTTTATCGGGAAGTGGTCACTACCTAGCGGGACGTCGTGCACTTCCCATTGAGTACTTTGAGATAGATCTGCGGTGCATATGGTTAGGTCGATAGCCGACATTCTTTGGTTTATCTTATCGTAAACATTCTCATCAAAGAAAACAGTCAAGACTATAGATTCCCGTCGTCTAGCTACACATCCTGTGATGAATTAAAGGTTGAAGAATTTTAAACTGAACTGTCCTAAGTTTATATCTAAAATTTTGGAATTGGATACAGTGATAAAGTCTTATATACTCATAAATATTGGTTTTATGTTTTGCGCCAAACCGCGCACTATGGAAACAAAGTCGCCGAACTTTTGAGCATACTTTTTGTATAGCATTTCAAAAGCCTGGGTTGTTTGCATTAAAATCAAAACAAAGGAATCTGTAATTAAAATGTGTAAGGTGAAAAAGCTTTTACATAAAAGAGCAAAATACATGGGGGAGAGTAAATATATAATTCTATATAACTTTTCTTGAATGGAGCACATTTGAAAAAAAAGATAATCCAAGAATATTCGATATTACCGTGTATAAAGAATTTATATCAGTCATATATTTCTAACTTAGATCACCCGTATGTAGCCCAGGTAAAGCATGCACATCGGGGAACATTGTAATGTTGGTACAGTTTATCGTGTCTTCTTGCTTTGGTATTACACATTGGCTTTTCATATTCCTCAAGGTTTGAATGTTTATTTGTTTAATAAAAAAATGTATTTTTTATTTATTTTTTTCTCTCCTTTATTTGTTCTGGGTTATATATTTATCTAAATATACATTTAGTTACTTGTGTGTGTGTGGTTGTTTCCTTTTATTTGTTGATTTTGATTTTGATTGATTTTGCGGGGTATTTTTCTTTCTTTTCTTTTTTTTCTTTTTTTTTTTGGGGGGGGGGGGGCACTTTTCCTTTCGTTTTTCATAATGTTATTTTTTTAAGTTGTATATAACGTATGAATCCCTTCTCAGATTACTTTATCTTATTTCTATATGACGTGCTATTTTACTTCTCTGTGTTTTTCTTGTTTTCTCTTCAGTATGAGGTTATACTGTATCATTTTTACTATTTTGATGGTTGTGGTCAATCAGTTTCGGTGTGTCTTTTTAACAAGGTGTTCTTCATTAAGATTCACGGCCAGCCCGATTGTAACAATTACATGTACACTTTGCTTTGACGATGCCGGTTGATGTTATTCAATACAGGATGGGGTGGGGTTTTTTTAAAATCTATTCTACATGCTTATCATTTCGGGAAGATGATACACATTTCTCTATATTTTGGGTTACTTTGCTTATCTAATTTCCGATTATCATTCTTAGTTTTACTTTTTCTCTTCGGCTGCGGTGATATCCATCCGAATCCAGGACCTTTGCATAGTCCAGATTTAAAGATTATATATCTAAACGTACGCAGCCTTAAAGACAAAGTAGATTTTATCAGTGCTGAATTAGATAGTTATGATGTTGTATGTTTAACAGAAACCTGCTTGCACCATGATATTCTAGCCACTGATATTACACTGATACCATTTTCAAATCGTAGCCTGTATTAAGGAATATATTTTAGATCTTAAATCAGAGTATAACGGACAGCCTGAGCTGGAGGCGCGCGTGGATATGTTGACAGTTTTTACGTAGTTAGTGGTAAAACCGAATGTTTGCGAGGATTAATAAGATTTCTGAATTCTGTTACAACAGTAACCGTACGTGTATTTGTTACATTAAGTCATTTCATTCAAATTTGTTTGGTATGATTATGTCTTATAATTATTTTAGGATGGAAGGTACAGTTACCAAATAAAATATGCTGAAATATCAATTCATTATGACCATATTTCATAATCTATTTTTTAAAGTAACCCTCCTTACATTAAAGATAACTATTTAAAGAATATAGTACTGAAAGACATTGCAACAAACCGAATAATCAGGGGGGAGACTTTATACTGAGGGGGGCGCGAAACATATCCGCCCGGGGGAGATTTTATTTCAGAACAGATTCTCCGGGGGAGAATCTGTACCGGTATAAACTCTCCGGGGGGAGAATTTGTACGGGGGAGAGTTTATACCGGGACACCGGAATGATCAATCTTTGACTCAAAGTGCGTTTGAAAAGACATGTTTTGAATATCCTTTACGGTTGTTCTAAGTAAACAAGGCATTATATCTGTGCTTAACGCGACTAAGTAAAAAAGTTCTTTCCGATTGTTTATAACATACTACATGTATATTGATTGAGAAGAACACGGGGGCGCTTATTGACGATAAATCTGTGGATTTCTACTCGAAAATCAGTTCACGGAGTCGCCATTTTGCAAGTGACATTAATGAAGGTAGAACATGTAACTGCTGTGAACAGTATTACAGGTACCTCAAAGCAATAACCTTCGAGGCCTACGTTACTGCAGAACGGAATTTACAATCTCATTCGCCAGCTATTCAAAAACAATTTGGAAAACGTGTCAAAGCTATCAAGCAAAATGTTAGGGACAACGTTTGGAGAAACAAGCGGTAATTGTGAGCAAAAGTCTTTTTGTCGCGGAAGATGAGATTGATGTGAAAACTCGGAATAACAGTCTTAAAAATGTGTTTATGATGTGCCTCCCTATGCGACTCACCAAGCTGAGCTGTGTTGTCCGCTCGATAACGTTTTGAAACTCCACACACCTGTAATGTTTGAGAAGAAATAGCGTCACCATATATTCATTATATTGTCAACGTGCATGTTGACGGGGAATTAGCTCTTGGGGGAATAAAGGACAAAATCGACATCACTGTCCCGGAACGCTTTATGCACAACATGTAAACAATAAACAACAATTGCACAATGAGCGGAATACCTGCTCTGACAACACAAACACAGCAATGAGCGGACCTTCCAGCTCAGGCGTACAAGAGGTGAGCGGAGCTCCAGCTCACCTCAGGGCATATCCTGCTCGAGGTCTTCCCTATGCCAGCACTCGGAATACCAAGCCTGACTAACACCGTAGTAACTGTGTAATGGTAGCACATATATAGTAATGAACACCAACGGACAGACAAAGAGACAACGACGTTGCTTTGGACATATGGGCGTGATTAACAAACACAGTTCATGGGATGATCAATTAGGGCAATACATGCAATACTATAAAAAGCAGTAGTTAAAGGGAAGTGATATGGTAGTCCAGGCTGACTGACAGTCAAAATACAATGAAATGTTGGTGAGGATTAACAACGGGGATTAGCGCCTAAAACGTAATGACAATTATGTTATGGAGACATGGTTACAGGGTAAATTGCCCTTGAAGTCAAATGTACTGCAGACAATGGTAGTCATAAATCAGTCGCTATGACAACACTGACATAGCATGGGGAGTTCTCAGTGAGGTGCAAGTGACGAGAACTTATTGAAATGCACCCAACCTTATGAAACATGAGTGTCTTATGTCAATATGCTTGAACGGGTTCCTTAAATGCTCAACTCAAGACGGTAATGTAATGCTCACATGTGTTATTGCTGTATATTTATCTTGAACGAACGCAGAGAGCCAACATGGCTTAATGGATAGAGCGCCTGCAGGGAGAGCGGGAGGTCAAGAATCCAAAAACCACAGTAAAATCCTAATACTTACCGACTCCCTAAGTGGACTGCAAGCCCTCCAAAACAAAAATACCAAAAACCGACCTCAATTAATAAATCTAATACTTAAAAGCTCCAACGACCTAACTAACGCAGGCAAACAAATAACCTTCTTGTGGATACCCGCCCACGTAGGAATATACGGTAATGAAAACGCCGATAAGGCACCTTAAATATCCCTCAAAATCCCAGAAATAAGCTTAAACTTACCCATCTCAAAATCAGAAATTAAATGTGTAAATAAGCAAAAAATCACCAAAAAATGGCATAACCTATATCTAAACTCAAATAGCCAAATCAAAAAAGTACTCAGCAAACCACTAACCAAACCAAAAATTCACCATCCATCAAAAAAAATCGACAGAGTAATCACTAAACTCCAAACAGGACACACCAACCTAAATAACCACCTAAAAAAAATTAAAAAACATACTACAGGTAACTGCCCACACTGCAAACAACTAGAAACCCCAGAACACGCACTCATCTACTGCACACACTACCTAACACATTGAACCGCATTACAACCACCCTCAATCTAAACAAGGCTCTCACTCTAGAAGCAATACTAAACCCACAAAATAAACTAGAAAACTTCAAGGCCTTAGGCGTATTCTTAATCAAAACGGAACTAATAAAACGCATCTAAAAACACTATAATCCACCAAATCAAAAATTACATAAACACACAAACATCCACCATACCCAGCTCCCTTAGTTCTCCTCCCCTACCCCATCGGCATCTATTCCAAATCTCAAAATTCCCAAATTCTATATAAGCAGCCCCTAAAGCCCCCTCTTGGGTTGCACACACCACTTTCGCCCCTTTCGGAAACACATTAAATGGCCTGGCCGGGCCCGTGTGCGAAATACGCATCAGTCGGAAAGCGCACGTTAAATCTCCAAAGTAAGTAAGTAAGTAGGGAGAGCGGGAGGTCGGTTGTTCGATCCCCGATCCCGTCATACCCAAAGACGTAAAAAGATGGTACTTTTTGTGACCCTGCCTTGTTCTCGACATTGGAGGTGAATCAGAAAACTGTGTGGCATGTTTGTTTGTTGTTTCTTTTACATTGATCTACACAATTGAGATACGGTGACAAGCATCAACCAAGTCAGCGAGCCTGACCACCCGATCCCGTTAGTCGCCTCTCACGACAAATATAAGTTCCTGAAGGCCAATTCTAACCCGGATCTTCCCGGGTCCAACCATCCTGACGGTACAGTAAGTATACAAACAGATAAGGAAATACATTTTCACGCTGTCGTACGAAGATAATTAAGAAAATGTGGGATGACAAACTGATGGTACATGACATAGAAACATATGTTGACAAGTACTGAAGACATTATCTTAGCAGCAATACGGTATTCTTACCGTGAAGAATAAGACCATGTAAACTATTGACTTTCACACATTGTTTACATAACTACGGTATGATGAACCTACCTTAAAATACAAACATTTTAGAAAAGAAACAGCTGGTTAAATATTATTTACAATAACATTTTTCAGAGAATATCATATCCGCAAAGTTGAGTGTTTTCAACTGGATATTAGCCCTGTGATAAATATTATAACGCTCCGATACAACCATGTAAGTTCTAATCATTGTTAATGCCCAACAGTGTAATATGTACATATAATGTACTCAGAGTACAGATGGTGCAAGCAGTGCAGGTTTACATCATTAAATAACATCCTTTCTTACCTTGATGAACAGAGAAGGTCGCAGAGTTGTAGGTGTTGATCGATGGCGTTGTAGGTGTAGGTGTTGATCGATGGCGACAGAGTGAAGTAGCTACCCGATATAACACAACTGAGACCTTACTTTAATTACATAATGGAAGATTAAAGCCGATCAATCGTCTGTAACCATGGATTACCGCGTCAAATTACAAACTGATCTTTGACTCTCAGACGGATTAACCGTGTGCGCGACCAAGTGACGTCACACTAATCGCTGGCCCCCTAAAGGGAGTGACCTCGTCCCCGGTCACAGTCCCTGAACCATATTACATGTATCTTCCCTTCCGGTCACGCACTATTTTAAGCAAGTCTACATTTTTCACAGGTTCACTGGGGCTCTTTTTCAGTTGTTTGTTTCTTTCAAAATTATGTATTTTCAGAGCCTTAGCGTTCTTTTATGACTGACCCTCTGTGTTAGTCTGGTTTGGAAGACCTACATAAGGGGTCTCAGAGTAGGAGTGACACTGTGTTTAGCCGCATATGTAAGATATATATTACTGGTATGCGGCGGTCAGTTTGTGCATTATCTACACTGAGGTTTCTGTAAGAATATTAATATTCATTTACAGGTGTAACTTGATTCAAGGGGTTGTAGTATACAAATGATGTTGACGTCTAGTTTCGAAACATTATTGCTTGAAATGCATAGTTTTGCTATTTCTCAATATCTTCTGTCGACATTTAATTGGTATGGTTTGTTTGTTTGTTGTTCAACGCCGCACTGAGCAATACTCCAGCTATATGACGGTGGTGTGTAAATAATCGAGTCTGGACCAGACAATCCAGTGATTGACATCATGAACATCGATCCACGCAATTGGGATACGATGACACGCATCAACCAAATCAGCGTGTCTGACCTCCCGTCCCGTGTTGCTGAAGACTTATACTTGCAAGACTTGCTTGACAACGGTGTAAGGGTCTATACCGAAACGTCACCTTTACAATATTTAAGAAGTTGTTATCCATTGTGTCTACTTTGTCATCCGTCAACTTTAAAGTCATGCCTATCAAACAATTCCACAATCTGAAGCATTTTTTTATTTTGTTGAAGCATTTTCGGGGACAATTAATTAATTTCGATACAATCTCAGCTCCCCCCACTCCTTTGCACTACTCAGTCAAGTTAAAAAGCTGTAATTCTGCTTTTGACGAGGTGTCGGCATTCATTTGGGCAATGCAACCTGGATCAAAACGAACTTTAATATTGATGCACGCATGAGCTCAATTGCCGTTATTAGCTTATTTTATGCACACTTCACACACTATTTGTCATTGCACTGTCGTGAACCACTGTCAGTTTTTAAACATTTGAAATCAAATTCAATTAACTGGGTTTGTTTTTTTAAATAACCTATAGATTTGAAAACACACAAAATTATGCGGGGCGGGCGAGCGGGAGTGTGACAAGGGCATGCTACATTGTCTGACATACTTTTCTTCGTTTGATTCTATGTTTGTTTAGAATATGTTTAAACGTGCTATTTAAGACTGATTTGTAATTTGAATCTACGATCTGGGTCTAAAGTCCAGCCATCAGTCTCTGTTACCGAAACCAGTCTTAGAGAGGGGACTTTGTCTGTCGCAACCCCACTTCTGTGGAATGCAGTCCCTGTCACAATTTTGCACTGTAAATCTTGAAAGATATCGCAGACATTTAAAAAACTTATGGTTTTGCGGAGGCATTTGATATCTAGAAGAATGTTTTGAGCGCCACTGGCCCTAGCTCCGTGCTTTTCAAAAAATTTCTCTGATACTACCGAAGTTACTGGAATGAATGTTTGCATGTTTATCTAAGAGACACTTGTCAACACTGAGTTCGAAAATTGTCGATCAATTATGTTTTACAGAGTTACGACCCTTGATCTATGTTATTTAACTTCGTGCATAGAAACAAATGAAGTTAGCTTATCCGATAGATACCGACCACGGTACACCATCTCCCTGTCCCCGACCACGGTGCATCATCTCCCTGTCCCCGACCACGGTACATCTTCCCCCTGTCCCCGACCACGGTGCATCATCTCCCTGTCCCCGACCACGGTACATCATCTCCCTGTCCCCAACCACGGTACATCATCTCCCTGTCCCCGACCACGGTACATCATCTCCCTGTCCCCGGCCACTGTACATCATCTCCCTGTCCCCGACCGCTGTACATCTCCCTGTCCCCGACCACTGTACACCATCTCCCTGTCCCCGACCACGGTACATCATCTCCCTGTCCCCGACCGCTGTACATCTCCCTGTCCCCGACCACTGTACACCATCTCCCTGTCCCCGACCACGGTACA